ATTGTGTGAGAGGGGGGCAGGGCGAGGGCGAGGGCGAGGGGGCACTGCGAGAGTGGGGCATCTATCAGCTGCAATGGCGGCACGCAGCTCTCGACCAGCACGCATAGGCCAAAGTCAAAAGAGGAAGAGCGAGAGAGAGAGCGAGACAGAGACAGAGAACTGATGAATGAATGAATGAATGAATGAAACGAGTGTGTCTGAATGAGTGTCTGCCCCTGACTCTGGGTGTCTGTGTGTGTTTACAGCGATTTTGGCGCCAAATCGAGCATGCTATGCGATCAACATGGAACATGCTGCGTATGCGTAATGCCTGGCATGCAACACAGACAGAGCACAGAGCAGTGGCATGCCGTAGACAGAAGAGTCACGTGGATGCCATGAACTCCCGTGCCCCCCAAAGGATTGCGTGTCATTTCTTTATAAACACATCCAGAAACAACAACAGGCAGGGGAGTGTGTGGGGCCGGGGGGGAGGCGTATGCAAAGCAGTTGATAGAAGGGGGTGGGCGAAGGTGATTAAGCAACCATCGACACTTTTCAAATGGGGAAATATTTCAAGAGACAAGTTTGTGTTTTATGGAAAAGCTTACACAAAACTGAGGGATGCGGTAAGAGCCCATTCCAAGGGATATTCTCAGAACTAGAAGTATCTTTTATCTCTATAATGTGTCCTTGAAACCTCTACCATCTCAGAACAATAGACAGTAAAAAATACCCACTGTATCTGTGCTTTGTGAGAGCTATTGGAGCGTTCAAAGAAACCCTAAAGAACCTAAAATACTCCCTTAATGTACTCCACCTCTATGTATCTGTGGCATGTGAGGGGCGTGGCTGCGTTCTGCAGGATTTCGAGATTCTATCTTCCGTGTTGGATCTCTCTGGACTTTGCTTTGCCGCGTCCGTCTGTAGTCTAGTGGGCGGGGGGGAGGCGAGTGTGCAGCCTTGCCTTGGACCTTGCAATTTGTGTCAACCCAACACACACCTGTCTCTCCATTACCCAGTCCGACCCCCAGCCAACCCCACCGCGCCACTTAGGGGCAGGCAGACCATGGAAAAAACCCACAATCCCAATCCCAAAAGTCGTCCGCATTGTAATTTCTTTAAAAGCAATTCATTTCATAATGGGAAAAGGAAAGAAGAAATGTGAAGAAGAATGCCACGCTGGAGCAGAGAGAGAGAGAGAGAGCAAAATGAGGGTGAAGAAGGGGAGGGGGTGCAGGGGGGGTGCTACGAAAATGGCGAAAAATAATACATGGGGAAAATGTTCAGAAGGAAGGACGACGGACAATAAAAATGGCTTTTTGGGGCTGAAGTTTTCGCAAGGAGCGTACACACACACACACACACACACACACACAAAGATACACACACACACATAGCTATGCAGTTATCCTTTGTTCGCTGGGATTCCTCTCTATACTTCTCTCTCTATGCCCGTACCTTTCTCTCTATATATCTTCCTTTCGTTCTTTCTTGCCTTCTCTGTCTCTGTCTCTGCCTTGACGTTTTTATGGCCCCCAGACAAAAGGTTGAAGCCACCTTTCACCTTTCTCATTCCCCCCAAAAACTCTCCCTCAAACCTCAGCCCTCCTCCTCCTCCTGCCCTACCCTCGAAAAGTTCTTTACTTTTTGGAAAGTTGTTTATGGAATTCATTTTATTCCCATTCCGTAGTCCTCCTCCGTCTGTAGCCGTTCTCTCCTGCTCCTCCTCCTGCTCCTCCTCCTCCTCCTGCTCCTCCTCCTCCTCCTGCTCCTCCTCCTACTCCTCCTCCTGCTCCTTGCTCCTTGCTCCTTGTGTAGTCTGTATGCCCTTGCCATTTAGTTTCTTTCTTTTCGTTGTGCCCCGACGACTCCCTTTCCCGTTGTTGCCTTCTTTTTCTTATAGATAATAAGAAAATTATACATTTTATGCCGCAAACTTAGAGCGAGACAGAAAACGAGAGAGACTCTGAGAGAAAAAATCCAAAAAATAATACACCGCATTGCCCCCAATTTAGGTTTTTATGGGGCCCTCAATTTTGTTGAGCTGGAAATTATATTTCTATGTCGATTCCTTTTGCCTAATTTCGCAGTGCATTCCAATGCGTCTAACGGTTTCGCTGCCATCATCAATATAATAACCAGATCGGATCCCAGGAGACCTACGAGTATCCCACTATAACTGGCGAGATTTTGCGAGTCGTTTAAAGACCTTTTTGGGGAGCGCACCAGACACTGATCATTTTCACAAATTTCTCCGTAATTGGACATTTAATTAAATTAATTTTTGGCTTTTATTTGAGTGCTGCAGAAGGAGAGGGAGAGCGACAGAGAGAGGTATACCACGTTTAGAAACGATTTGTGTGGAGACAACTGTTTGTCCTTTAACGGAATACTTAGGGATGCCTAACCCCAGGTTTGGGGCTGGAATGCCAATAGACCTGCAAAATGGATTAAATTATTATCATTTATCATTGATTTTTGGATAGAGAGAGGAGATGGAGGCACCACATTTACCCAAGAGCGAACCAGAGAGAACTCCACTTATCCTTGAATACTTATCTTATATCCTTCTTTTATCCCGCCGTCAGGCTTGGGCGAGACATTGGCATTCCTTTAGCCGGAGGACAACACCTTAGTGGCATGATAATGGCACTGGGATTGGGGATTGCGATTGGGGCAAGGGACTGGCGATAGCGATTGCGATAGAGGAACTCGGGGATTAGCCGACAGAAACAATTTGAGGCAACATGTCGTCCAGTTTTGTGACATCAAACGGACATGCCACTGACAATTACCCGAGAGCTCAGAGCAGAGCAAAAACAACGGAACCAGCCCCCCACCCCCCCTCCATATGGATACTGGATAGAGGAGAGGGGTAGTGGCAGAGGCAGAGGCAGGGGCAGAGGAACCTTAGGAACCAATTAACTTAACGCGACAATATCCTGCAACAGTCCTGGAGCCCAGGTCCTAGTCGAAGTCCACACATACACGTAGCGTCTGTGTGTGTGTGTGTGTGTGTGTGCAGCCAAGCAAAAAGGTTTTCAAAAAAACAGCAAACAATGGAAAATGTTCAAAACAGTGACAAAAAAGCAACGCAAGAAATGTGGATGGATGGAGGGATGGATGGGGGGGGGGAAGGAAGAGTAGGGGATATGGATGGGGAGTGAAGGGGGCTGACCATGGAAGGGGTCGCCTCATAAATTACAAATATAATTACATTTAATTACCGCAATTAACTTTGTAATAATGTCAATGAAAATGATGAGACAAAATATGATTAAAAAATAACACACACCGCGATGGAAAGAGAGGAACAGCCACAGAAAGAGACGGAAATATGCAAAGAAACAACCAACGAAAGAGAGGGAAAACACACACACAAAGATACAACCAAAGAAAGAGAAGGATATACATATGTGGCTTATAAAGACAATCCTCTAGAACTGCTGGTCGGTTTATCCGCTTATGACCGGAGATAATGATGAATTAGCGGCAAAGCTTTTGTAAACCAGAACGAACCAACCATCCAACCATCCATCCAACCATCCAACCATCCATCAGGCCATCAGTCCACACACAAGCTAATCCAAACTCATCCAGATTGCTGCAACTCCCCTACCAATCCCCCTTTCCCCCCGTTTGCCACTCCTCGAGTCCCATCATAAACGGATTTTGCATTTATGAGTGTTCCCCTCCCCCCCCCCCCCCCCCGTTCCTTCGCCTTGGACGGATTGTATCCGTATCACTTTCAGTATTTGGATTTGCAGTGGTATTTTCCAGACCGCTTCGGTTTCTGGGCTGGGTTCTGTTGGGTCCTCGAACTTTTATGACATTTAATTGGAGTGCTTTCTGATTGCGGCCGACTTCTTATTCGTTGTTTATGATTTGATTCATGGAAATTATTAGAGGTAGTCTCGGTGTAGCAATGGGGGAAGATGAACTTCTTTGAATCGCATTCTGATACTTTAAATGTTTGCATATTCAGCTTTGGAGTTCTGCTTCGTTTACTATTATTAACTGATTCGAATGTAATTTGGTTAATGATCAATTTATTTGATGTTTCTTATGGTTTTTAGACATGAAAGGCTCTTAGATTTTGTGATGAAAATTGGTTTCGAATAATAATTTCGATACAGATTCGATTCGGTAGCTGTTTGTGTCCATGCGATACATTTTGGATCACCAATTGTTGAATATTAAACAGCATCCTTAAAACCATTTAATTTATGGGAGTCTAACAGCTGTTTTAAAGGAAACTATCGCTAACGCTTCGATAAAACAACTCTTGTTTATCGAATGTGTGTTTATCGAGATTTGTTATTTATCGATACCTACAGGGATACCTTTTATAATAATTAAACCCGTTTTGGTTGCTATATTGCTGGGTGTATTCAATATTCATATAGATACATTTCAGGTTTAACGATAAATATTTCGACTATTATTTCGATTAAAAGCAGATCCTTAGATAGAGATTAATTGCCCACCCTAAAAGATGATGTCTCTGGAGATGTTGTTAAACAAACGATAGCTAATCGATTGACCTTCGATTATCTCTTTCGATTAACATCCGAAAATACGTACTTTCTCACCCAATCTTAACGGTAGCAGAGGGCATGGAGTTGTGCAACCCGCAGCCACATCTGATGGTAGATCGTCTAATGAACCAGAGATCAAGTGGGCATAGCTAATCGAAATCAACCCTCGACCGAGAGTCCGTTTGTGCTTGGCAATCCTTGCCCGTCCCCGTGCCATCATCAGGGGAGGATATTCCGAGGGTCCGTCTGTCTGTCCACTATACCTATATAGTTCTAGGGTAACTGATAAGTGCAATTAATAATTTTGACCTTTTCAAGTTCGCGCCGCCGACGCCGGGCCACAGCTGACGCGCGTTCTATATTTTATGGAGAGGCAACTTTCCATTTATGCATGAAAATTGTTTTCCCGAATTTCCCTTTTGTTTTTACACCCTGCTGCTATGTATGTTCTCTGATGTTCTGTTTTCCCTCTGCTTGCAGCCTGAAGCCGCCGCCCAAGGATGGCGTCACAAAGAGCAATCCATCAAAGCGGCATCGGGAGCGCCTCAACGCGGAGCTGGATCTGTTGGCCTCCCTGCTGCCCTTCGAGCAGAACATCTTGAGCAAACTGGATCGACTGAGCATACTAAGGCTGTCCGTTAGTTATTTAAGAACCAAAAGTTATTTTCAAGGTGAGTGCGGGATGGAGGAGAAATAGAAAAGGCCAGCCCCCTCCCTCCCAGAAAAGGTGGGTTTCGCCCCAAACCCCTGGCTTTGGCTTCGATTCCATTTGCCATACGGCGCGTAACAGTTTTTGGCCTATTAAATCGATTATGCTTGGGCTCTCGGCGAGGAGACCTTCTCCTGGCTTGGGCTTGGGTTTGGCCTAGAACATGACTCATAAATGATTCAAAACTAATTTCAACGACGCGCCAGGAGGTCCTCTAGTCTGCTCTCCCGAAACAGAAGCAAGAAACAAACCCGAAAGAGAAACAGAAACAGAAATACAGACAGGACATGGAAAGGACACACGCACGTGCTGTTGACGGATTAAGGCAGACAGAACGGAAGGAAGGAAGGAAGGAAGGAACAGGAGCGGTTCGTAGAGGGGCAGGACCTCCACTAACATATGTATCTACGACTTCCCTCAGGGGTGCTTTAGACCATGCTTTAGGGATGGGACGGATGGATGGCTGAGTGGAGGGGGATCTCGAAAATATTTCGTATAATTTAAATTAATTAAAACAAATGCAATAAACTCTCGACTCTCGGGCCTTGATGGCTTGATTAACGATTCGCTCTCTCTCTTTTGAGGTCATTCACATTAAGCTTTGTTTTAATGAAAAAAAAAACAAGAGAAAGAGAGAGAGGGAAGCATATTTAATTGCTTCATTTGCCATAAAAATTGGCAAAAGACCAGAAGGGGTTCCCGCAGTCCAGAGAGAGAGAGAGGGTAGTATGACAGCTTTAATTAAGTTTAAGTGCAGAATTAAAGCGGGGTCCTGGGAGGTTCCCAGCCCCAGCCCCAGCCTAGAATAAAGACGAAGCCGACAAAAAAAGGTTACAAAACTTGAGTAAATATTTTGACAATTAGCGGTCAAGCCGTAGTTCAGCGTTAATTGCAATGGCAACAGAAAAGGAGCAGCATTTGGACATCCGCTTGCCACGTGCCACGTGCCGCATTGTGCATTGTGAAAAGTCAATATAAACATTAGTTTCCTTTTGCCAATGGCATCCCTGCTGCCAAGCCCTGCTATGCCCAATGCGCAATGCCCAATGGGAACCTCAAAGGACAACGACAGCGACAAGGACTGCAACGACGACGGGTTAATGGACCAGAACCGTTGCGGCGTGTGCCCCGGTGAGTGGCCTCTGTGTCCGTACAGCCGTACACCCCCCCCCCCCCCCCCCGCACACCTTCTGGTATGGTATATCCCTTCGACGTTCCAGAGTCTCAGTGTCCCGGGGTTGTGAGGTCAAAGTTTGTTTTCCCTTTGGTTTTCATTTGTTTGCCCTCACCCGCCGTCCCACCAAATACTAGTAGTAGATGTTTTTCGGATATTATCGGGATCATTTAATTTACAATTAGTGTTTGTTTTGCCTTCCGCACACACACACATAGTCTGGGACTCTCTCTCTCTCTCTGATCGAGGGACCAGGACCAGGACCAGGACAGGGCAATGGGTTTAATTCGGAACGTGTGCCGTTCATGGGATTACCAGGCGGAAGCACTCAAGACGATTAAAATTGATTCGATAAAGGGTATGGGAAGGATATTGAGCGCCGATGAGAACTCAAACGTGTCTCATTCTCATTAGATGCTCAAATTGATGGAAATCCAATGAGAAGAAGTTTAACCCTAGGATCTGCATCTGTAGGTACAAAAACACATGTACAATCCATATAGCAATATAGATATAGATATATCTAAGCATTAGTACGCATCTATGTATCTTTTTTATGTACTTAAACGTTTGTGGGGGATGATGATGACTCCCTTTCTGTAGTTGCTTGACCCTGACTTGCGCAAAAACCGAAAACCGAACCCCAAAAACCGAACTCCAAGTCGCTCTCTCAACGTTTGGCTTTAGTTTCAGTTCGAGGACCACGCCCTCCGCACTCCTGCCCCCATCCTTGAGGAGCGCTTGATGATTTACTAATTCTCTCTTTCGTATTTTTGTGGCTTTTTCTACTACGAGTCCGAGAGTATCTCTGCATTGGGTTTGTGCCTCCAAACTAAATAATTAAAGCGCGCTGCTAATGGCCCATTGTCTTGGCCCTCGAATGGGGCAAAGGGCCAAGGACTCCCACCTTATGGCCACTATTCTGGCAGGGCCATAATTGTTAAGACGCGCAATTTCTACATTTTTAATGCCCTTGGAGGTCGGCTTCTGCCGCTGTCTCCCGGCGCTTCGACGTCTGCCTAATTGATGAGTTGCGTAATTAAGTGGCAAGGGAAAGTCGAGAAACAATTGCTAAAAACATTAGTTGTTATGGCCCTTTTAGATATTGATAGTTCTTGCCTACACTTTTTTTTTACGATTATTATATGTACATTCTTTTCTGCGGTAGCTCTTTTGGGTCACACGCAAAGCAAGCCCCCCCCAGCACCCATTAAATGCCATTAAAATGCGCCATAAAAACCAGTTCATAGGCAAATTGTGTTCCCAAGAAGCTTCCAGTGGCTTCCAGAGAGTCAAGTACTCTTCAAAGATTCGGTAATGTGAGATGGGAACAAATTTGCATTTTCATTGCCGTCTGCTTTGGTGGGGGTCTCTTTTTTGCGTTGGTCGAAAAGCCCCCACCAGAGTTCCCACACATGATTAAAAGATGCACTGAGAGAAAAGGAAACCAAAGAAAAACTTCTTGGAAAGAAACTCTTATTAGAAGATCTTGATTGCCCAAACGCCAGCTGTTCACACTTCTTATGATAGGGTTCTGCCTAGGGTAGGAGATTTCGAAGGTTCCCCTTGCTCGATCCAAGGGAGCAAAACCGGTTTAAATTGTGTGGAAATTCGTTTCTACTTTCCTTAGAGAAACCTCAGCCAGTAGCTAATTTTTGTGGTAAACATTTTCCTGATAATTAAAGGAAGAATGGCTTATTACCACTCAAAATAGGTCTTCCTTCATCTAAACTCTACCATTGCAATACCCCAATGCATGCCAATGCCCATTCGTGTTTTGTGTCTGTGGAATTTGCATAATTTTAGCCAGGAAATGCACTGCCATATTACCATACCTTAAACATCGCTAATCATACGCTTCCTCAACAAAAACCTTCATTTCAATCAACGAATTTCCTTGTTGAACTTTCAAAAGTAAATTCCCCCCACCTGAGACTGCACATTTTCCCTCAGTGTGGTCTTGGGCATTTCATATTCGGTTAATAGATTTGCTGGCAAATCATGTCGCCATTACTTTTGACTCGGCTCTGACTGGCGGCTCTTTCTGGCCGCCTCGCGGCTGCTCGTGGGAAGTGGCAGTTGCCGCCGCAGTGTTGTGGCAACCTGCTCTAAGCATATTATGAATGAATGCATCTGTGGCGGGCCACAGTGGCGTGGGCAGGGGGGGGAGGCACCTAATGGAAGTCACCCACCGATTATCGGCCGCCACGACAAGGTCACTTGGTCACTGTCTGTCCCGTCCTTTCCCTTTGCTGGTATTTATGTTATTATCAAAATTGGCCCACAGGCAAGTGCTCCCAATAGGCCGGTGGGTGGAGGCCAAGGCTTAGTTCTTAACCTAAAAACATACTAAAAGCCAACTCCAATCTGCTGCTCTGCATGCCGCTGCCGCTGCCTCTGCCGTTGCCTCTGCCGTTGCCTTAGCCGGCATTTGGCCAATTTTTCGTACATTGTAACATGACTTTCGTGCGTTGCTCCAGTTAAGGCATTCCCCTCTGCCCCTCCTCCCTGGTATTATAGCCAGACAATGAATGGGTCGCAGGCGGACATGCAATCAGTCAGTCAGGCAGGCGATGGCGATGCACTTGCCTACCAGCTCCTCTACGATACTCTTGGTGTTGTTTCTGGTGTTTCTGTGCCCCAGAAGGCGTCGCATTGTCACGCCGGCCAACTCACAGCTGTTCCTCGCACATATGTGAGTATATAGAGGGGTAAATATGTACTATATAGCCCAGACAACATTGCGTGACTTTACGTAGGTCGACACCCCTCTTCTCCCGCCCTCTCTCTATCCCTCTCTCCCTTTTGGGCCTAGGCTCGAGTGCTACAGATACCACAATGTCTAAGGCCTAGTTCAATTTAAAGTCCATTAAACGATTCAACAACTTTAAAATGTGGAGAGCCCTCAACACCCGATTGTTGGAGTGTTGGAGAACCTTTAACTTCCTTCTCTCTCTCTTTCTCTCTCTCTCTCTCGCTCTGCGGAATGCCTTGGAATGTCAGTTACTCAGTGGAAAGGAAGGAACCTCTAACGAGCCTCCGAAAACGAATAACCATCAAAAAGAACGCCTAGGAATGCCTGGTTTTATGTGAGGAAACCGCTTAGCCCGTTTCAAGGAACTTTTTGCTGGAAAAGAAATCCACTTAAGTGGAAAATCAAGGCTTAAGGCCTACAGAGTTAACTGGAGCTAGAAAGTCTTTAGAAATAGTTCATGGGGTATCTGAGGGATACATTTAAACCATTTTCCTACCATAAATGTGTGCCTTTAAGTGTGGAATGTCCTTATTTATTGTTTTAGATCTGCTTAAAGGTATAAAACATTCAGATATCATAGAATATTGACTGTCAGTCGAAGAGCATCTTCCCTAATACTCTACCAATCGTATCTTTCTTCTTAATAATCAGTCCATCCACAAAATCTTTAGTTTTGTTAAATATCTATCAATGTTTTCATTATTTACCGCATCCTTTGTTCAACCTTTTTCATAGTTTAATCTTTTGAAAAACTTTTGCAGTAACTTTAGAAGATATCTGAAGCCATCTAATGTGTATATCTCTATATATCTATCTACATATTTATCTATCTATCCATCTATCTATCCATCAATCTATCCATCTATCTATCTATCTGTACAGACATGCATTTCTCTATCTACCTTTCTCTTTCAAGCCACATGTTCCACCTCAAGGGATCCCCATTTCTGTCAGACTTCCCATCCGTTTACCACCATTAACCCTTTTTTTTTGTTGTTTGCCCCACACCTAAGGATTGGCGATTGGGGATTGGGTATATCCATCCGAAAAGCGCTGTCAATTATGACAGCTGCCAATGGCTGAATGCCGGAATGCCTGAATGGCTGGGTTGATGGGTTGATGCTTCTGCAGGGCCCTGGCGTTGGCGCTGTCAGTTTTCCAATCAAATCCGCTGATGGGTTTGACATTTCCATGACATATTTGCTTCTGTCGGCACGGAAAATATTTGCCAAAATGTCAGAAACTTTAAACTTTATTTATTATTTTGCGCCAAGCCGTGCCACCGGCCACGGGGCCACGCCCAGACCCAGCATAATTGACGCCATTTGGATGGGAGTAGTGGGGGGGGGGGGGGATAAAAAGCACAGAGGAAAATGGAATATGAGAATGAGTGGAAAAAGAGTGGAACGACTGGAGCTGAGGTGCCGTCAGAGTGCAACGTCATTAGGGCGAGTATCTTTTGGGTCTTCTGCTTTGCCGTTTGCTGCGCACGCTTTTCCGCTCGTTCGCTTTTCCCCAGCTCCAAGCTCTTTCCCTCCCCTCGCCCCGCCGCCCAGACATGTTTTCCCTCGGGGCTCACCGTTTGGGTGGGGTCTCGACCATCGCCATCGCCATTTTTATGTACATCATCGAGAGTCGCTCCGCCCCTGTCCTGCAGCTGAGATTTTGCGCTTTTCCGGTCTTTCCCGGCCACAGATATTCATCCACCGCCTGACCATTGTACAGGGTGGATGGGGGATGGTTTTTTCGCCCCATTTAACGGCTCTCCAAGGGTTGGTTATCCCCGCCAAGATGGCAGAGAGAGAGAGAGAGAGACTGCGAGAGAGCAGGAAAAACAGCAGCTACGGAAAATGTGTCGTAAATTTGCTTTATTTCCACCATGTAATAATACAATGTAAGTGCAATAAAAGCGGACTCCCCCCCCCCCCCGGACTTGCCCCCGTTCCGCCCGTTCAGATTTTGTAACCCAAAACTGAAACTAAGCCTCAAAGGCGGCCCAACCCAAACCAAACCAAAAATCTAGCCTCGCAGGAAAATTAATTAAATGAGTTTATGCACGTAGCAAAAATTCAAATGTACAACCAGAAATATTCATAAAAAGAGCCTCGAAATGAATGTAAACTGAGCCTAATTAAATTATGAATAATTACGGCCGGCTCCCAGGCCAAGTGGCTGTAAAAGGATCACGCCAGGATTACACGCACATGATGCAATTTGTTTGGGCCCACATTAGGCTGCTCCCGCCACCGAAATGAAGAGAGGGAGTGGACTGTGGCAACTATTTGTTTTATCGCACTTTCGCTAAAATGAACAATCTTTCTCGAAAGAGAGGGAGGGAGAGAGTGGGCGGGTGGGGAAAGTGGGAGTGGGAGAAACAGAGCGGAGTCACTTTTGTTAATTTGATAAAAAGGCCACCAAAAAGGCCGAGATTAAACCGAGGCGACAAGGAGCTCCAGTTTTGCGGTTACCTCAAAGGTAGGGCCACAGAGAGGCACAGAGGGTGTGTGCTGCGCTGTGGAAGGGTGAAGGGTCAGCGTGGTTGGGGGAGTGCTTCAGGGAACCGCTAATTGAAATTGAAGCCAAACTCTGAGAGTTCATTTTGTGTACCCTTTTAAGAGGGTATAACGATTTTTGGACAGAAGGATTTCCCAACCTATAAAGTATATTTATTTGTTACCATCATAGTTATATAGAATTTCTGGTTCTACGGAAACTATTTGCTTTGTTCTATCGGTATCTGAGAGGAACTTCTTTGGGTTGAAGGATTTCCGATCCTATAAAGTATATTTTCTTTATTACCATCATAGCTATATCGAATTTCGGGTTCTATCGGTATCTGAGCGGCACTTTTTAGAGAAACTTCTTTGCGTTGAAGTGCAAGTCTCTAAAGAAGAGAACTAAGCAATATTTAAACTAAATCCACAGACTTTAAGCCATAGCCATCATCCTATAAAGTATATTTATTTATTACCATCATAGATATATCGAATTTCGGGTTCTACGGAAACTATTTCCTTTGTTCTATCGAGAGGAATGAGAGGAACTTTCTACAAAAACTTCTTTGGGTTGAAGTACAAGTCTCTAAAGAAGAGAACTAAGCAATATTTAAACTAAATCCACAGACTTTGAACCATCATCCTATAAAGTATATTTATTTATTACCATCATAGATATATCGAATTTCGGGTTCTACGGAAACTATTTCCTTTGTTCTATCGAGAGGAATGAGAGGAACTTTCTACAAAAACTTCTTTGGGTTGAAGTACAAGTCTCTAAAGAAGAGAACTAAGCAATATTTAAACTAAATCCACAGACTTTGAACCATCATCCTATAAAGTATATTTATTTATTACCATCATAGTTATATCGAATTTCGGTTCTATCGGTATCTGAGAGGAACTTTTTACAGAAACTTCCTTGAGTTGAAGTGTAAGTCTCTAAAGAAGAGATATCTATCCAAAAAGATGGTATCTATGTACGAGCCGAAACTCTGATTTCTCCTTCATAATAAAGCCTTGTCCATACATAAATCCTTCCATCTGAATCTCCTGTTATATGGCAACTATACCTTTTGTATCTGATATCATTCCACAGCACCTACTTTTACGAATATCCACTATAATTCGATATGACTTTACACCAAATATAATGACTATATCCTATAGTCAAACCCCGCAACGAAGGATCTGCCAAGGGTATCTAAATCTACGACCCCAAGGACCCTGGCTTTTCCCTCACGCTCCTTGGTTCTTGGGGGTTGCACTTGAGGCAGGAGGGGCGGCTTTAGGCGTTTTCCATGCGTAAATTAAGCATTTTCCTTTGTTTTTATTTTAGTTGCTGTTTTATTTCACTTTTATACATTTTTTATTTCACTCATTTGCGTTGATAAAAATCATAATTTATGACATCAGACATCAGCCGGCGGTGGGCATAATTTTTGGCCAACAAACACCCTCTCCACCTCCACCCTCCCTTTCGAGGGTTTACCCTCCTCTAGCCACCCCTCCCTCGTGGTAGACCCGAAAACCTTTTACTAATATTGTGAAAATATATGAAGTTCCATTTCTTTTATCGTTTATCGCGCATAAATCAATTTTTGTGACAAATTTATTATAAAAACCGCCGCCAAGAAATAAATAAACAAAAAAAAACTAAAGAAAAGAGAGTGAGAGTCGAATGGAAAAATATATGTAGAATGAGTTTTCCTCGAAGGAAAATGGCTGCCCCAGGGGTGGGTACTATCGGAGGGGTGGCACTGGGAGTGCGAGGGGGAGTGGGAGTCGGTGGGTCGAAAGTTCTCATAAAATATTACAATGACACCATAAACAATTTTTAGTACTTTTGCCAAAGCTGTAAATATTTATTGTACGAATATTTGGTGGAATTTCGGGGCTCCTACCAGGGATACAAACAAACACATCTACGGATATATATATGATATATTGGATTTTTATGAAGTTACTATGGTTATGCCGCCAGTCCCCCCCCCACTCCAGTCGGTTTATAAAACAATTGTGGGGAATATTTATGGGCAAGCAATTTCCTTCGTGCCTCCCTGCACCCGCCCCCGCCCTCGACCCCTTTTGAGTGGGGTACATAAAATATTTATGGTTAATAAAATATCCCGAAAAATTCCTACATAAATATTAAAGTTTCTCTGGCTCTCTGCCCCTCTCTTTGCAGTTGTTATGCATAAGGATAAGGAGGAGAACGGTGTCCTGCCCCACATACACGCACACGATGGCTACAGGACCCGGGAGCTGGGCGCCTTCGAGCACGGCCTGCTGGATGGTGATATGTTCCTTCAGGTGAGTAGTACCCAGGAGCCAGAACCCAGTACCCAGTAAGAGCTCCTGCTCTGGCCCTCTCCCCACCAATCACCTACATTTGTCTTCATCAGCCTTTGTTTGATGGCTTCATTGGGGCAGCCAGGATATGCTGCCACCCCCCGCATAATCAATCAGCGTCTTGTTATCCAAGAGAGAAAGAGAGAGTCTCCATTGATAAATGAGAGACACGCAATCGAAGGTTGAGTGAGGGTCAGGACAATCCGATTCCATCATTTCGAATGGTCTGCAATTAATAAGTGCTCTAATTGATTATCCTCCTTGAGGAATGCTTATCTAAGGGATGAAAGGGAGATGGAAGGGATGATATTTGCTTCGGCTCGCTGGATCCCTCTTTTAAGGCCAATCGAGTAAATAAAGGTCTTTAAACCATTTCACACACTTGAAGGTCTAAATGCTTATAAGCGATTTCCCAATCATTCCGATTTACAAACGATCTCTGATTTCTGTATAATTAATAAGCGGCTATCAGGCCGCAGAACGAGGCAACGGCAACAGCTGCACAAATGTGGAACAGCACATAAAAAGTTATGCATTTCAAGTTTATGTGCCACAAAACAGAAAAACAGAAAAAACAACAAGAGTACAACTTCAATTAAATTGTCGCAAAGCACTCCCCCAACAGCCCCCGTGCCTCACCCCCTTGGGGGGGGGGGGGGGGGGGGGGGGCAGTTGCATGTTCTTGTTGAATTAAAAGTGCATGTGTCTCTCTGCCTCACTCTCTCTCTCTCCTGCACTGTCCGAGGCGCCAACATATGCACTTGTCACAGTCATGACAGTTTAATTTAATGCCCACATAGCTCACCGGGCATTGGAGCAGCGAGCAGCGAGCAGCCGGGCCACCAGGCAAGTGCTGCCACACACACGTCTGACACTGCCACTGCCAGTGCCACAACAGCCACAACAGCCACAACCTGGCGACAGACACACACGCAATTGTGCAACAACGCGCATTGCATTGCAACAACAGCCTGCCGCCTGCCACCTGCCGCCTTCTGCCTTCCTTTTTGTTTTTTGGCACACACAATTCAATGTCAAAGTCTCTTAAACTAAAACCACCCCCCTCCTCCCCACTCGCTGCAGAATGTTGCACATTGCAGTTTCGTGTTTGCCTGCATTACGTATACGCAGGGTGGCCGGCCAGCGAAGCAAATTTGAATGCAAGCCAAAAAAGCCACTAAAGTCCCTTGGCCGGCTCCAGCTAATTGTCGAGCTCAAAAACTGCACAATTGTGCATTTCCGTGCATATTTTTAGTCTGTCTCGGAGTCAAGGAGGAAAACCCATGGAAGTGTTCTGTGGGGGAAATGGCTAAATGGGGGAGCAGGGTGTGCAGGGTGTGCATATTTAGTTTTAATACCTCAGGTATTTGTTACCTGTTGCCCCGTTGAAGTTTTACTTTTTGCAAAAGCAACAACAACAGCAGCTGTACGAGTGTGGGCCACATATTATCATTAGAAAATGGCATTTTGTCACGCAGCTCGCAGCCCCCACCCATACATATGTACATATATGGAGTATACAACGTTTAATTGTCTTCCGTTTTCACTGAAAGTAAAACACTTTCAACACTCATTTTCAACTGAACTCCGCTTCGGCTGCATGCAACAGTATTTGTTTTTTTACCTTTATTTGGGGAGGCAGGCGGTTTATCCATCCATACTAACTAGAGACACTCGCAGAGAGAGGTGGGTCCCTCGATTGGGGTGGCCCGTAGCTTTATTAAGCAATTATCCCGACGAATATGGACAAATTGGCCAAACTAGACAGACGACCGTCCTCCACCGTCTTTCCTGCATCTTGGGCTAGGAAATGGTAAAATAATCGCTGCCAACTTATCAAATCTTCAAAGTGAAATGCAAGATTTACACAGAAAACACAGTGATATACCCATAATCCCACACAGAGATGCCTCTAAAGCCACACACAGATGCATGTACCCCCATACACAGGCAAGCACACAGATACCCCATAAAAGTATCTGCTGGATGTCCCCTCCACCACGTACCCCACTCAAAAGACGGGCGTGTATTATTAAAATCGCATTAGAAGACGCCGCAGACGCAAACGCAGACGCAGACGCAGACGAGAGCTTGTCTAAATTGTAGCTGCTGGAGGGAAAGAGAGAGCCTCCTCACACACACACACACATATCCTACAGAGTGCGAGGGAGATGGCCAGAGAAACAATTAGACTGTGGGGAGAAATCTTTCATGTCCGTATAAAAACATAAAATGCCGCAAGAAATGAAACGAGAGAAGAGAAGAGAAAAAGAGTAACGTAACCAATGAATGAAAAAATAATAATAAGAAAAAATGTAAGCAAGATTTGGGTGGAATAACAGATACCCTTTTTGGGGGCCAAGAAAATAAAATATATGTTCGAGGCAAATAAAGTTTTTATTCTTTGGGTGAACAATACAAGTCTTCATAGATCTGAAATTATTTGGAGAGACAAAAGGTCTCTTCCTTGATCAACAGATTGCAGATACTTATACTCGTCTTTAGTTGTAGATAGATATTTATCTGATTGTAATCATCCTGCCTTTTCCTCGAAATTAAAGCACTTATCTAGTCAATTTATGGACTTATATTTGCCATCAAAAGAGCATCTAAAATTTCATTCCATTCCAAGTGCTTCCCTACTCCTCCTCTTGAAATCTTCCTTATATGTAATAAGTTACCCAAAAATAGTGTATTCTCCATATCCAAAACCTCCTCTCTCTCTTTCTCTTGGTATATACTTCTCTATCATTCACTGGCTACTGGTTGAGGCGGATCTTTAAGACGATTATTGATGCTCGTCGGCCACTCGTCCGATCTCATCGCAACTCATCTCCCAGCTCGGACTGATGACAATCCGTACGCCGTATGCTGGGGCCATATCCTTTGGAGGCTGTGTTGATGCGTTTTAAATGATGACGCCACTTAGCATTTATGTCGGCTAATGCCAATGCTCCACCAGCCCCATCGCTTCCCCCCAAGCTGCTTCCCGCTGTTTCAGGCTCTCAGATCAGCTCTCCTCGCCTCCTCTGATGTCGTCTCAGTTTCAGTCTCTGGCTCTTCCCTGGACCTCCTGCTCTGTAATTAGCAGCAATCGCGCACATTTTTCTCCGGCTCAAACGAGGGGGGGAGGGGACGAAGATGGCTGGTGGCTGCAAATTGATATTTAAATACGCCCGTATTAATTACGGGCCGTATTTGTGTGCCGAGTTCTGTTTTCTGTTGGAGTTCCTCCTGTCCTGGCTTTTTTTTTTTTATTAATTACCGCCGCACCGCAACAGAGGCACTAATGGAGCATTGGCAAATTTGTCTTTCGCTGCGAGGTCGGGTTTCAATTTTCATTTTCATTTCATTTCACACGTTGCACGTTGCGCGTTGCACGACGACGCCAACAGCAACACCAACACCAACACCAAACACGACGCTTAACGCTTACCGTTAGCTGGGTCCGTGTGCCGTTGTGTTCCACTTGAGATCTGCAGAAGAGAATCGCATGCGTGGCGTCCATTAGCAGTCCATAAAGCCCGACTTTAAATGCAATCTAAAACAATAATGCGGCCCCCAATAACACAACAACACAACGGAACAACAACAAAACACAACAATGAAAATTATTACAAACTTTTGCATGGCCATATTTATCGTACACTTATTTCTTGTTAGCCAAGTCTCCAGCTTTTGGCGACGACAACGCATATCCGAATAGATAATAATTACAATGGATCATCTCTGGGGCAGCCAGATGCCATAGAGAGTGGAGTTGTGGAGAATGGAAACCTGCAATTACATCCAAAAAATCTTTGCCTCCCTCTCCCTGGCTCCCCCCCCAATCCCGCTCTCTGTTCAGTTGAAACGCATTGATTTAATTGCCAGCCATTTCCTGGTTGTGTTTGATGTGGAACTCCACGCGGAGGGATCGGCCATCGGGCAGCGAGGCGGGGACTGGGGGCACTGCGACCTGTGGCTTGGATGAAATGAGCCGCTTAAGCGCTGATTACGCTTTGGTTGCGGCAAGCGCCGCCACTGCCGCCGCCATCATCGCCGGTTTCTGTTGTGGCAAGGTTCATTCGAACGCGGCATTCCCCCCCCAGCCCCAGATCCAACCAGTCATAGGCATAGGCACTGAGAGATATTATGGAGAACGGTTAATGGCGATTTCGCAGAAAGCCACAGCGAAAACGTATCCTCTGGATTCATCCGTTGAAGATAATTTCGATTGGATAGAACAATAATTTCTCGCTGTGTAGTCAAAACACCGTAGGCTTCCAAGATGGATAACATTTCATTCACGAAAATAGTATGATGAACCCCACAGCAGCTACTGTAATTACCCCTTTCCTTTCTCAGGCCCAGCCCAACCCTCATATCATTCATTCATCTATCCATCTATTGATTCCATACCTGAGGAGTCTTGCCACTTGCTACTTGTCTCTGGAGCAACATTCATGGCCCCAAAAATAAATTTTAATTCATAGTTTTGATTTAATTTTGATGCCACTCATTCTCATTCTCTTGGGTTTTCTTTGCAGGCCCTAAATGGATTTCTAATGATACTGACATGCGAAGGCGAAGTCTTCTTTGCCACGCACAGCATCGAGAGCTATTTGGGTTTCCATCAGGTAAGTGCCATCTCCTATCCGTATGTGTCTTTCTCCTCTCATCATTTTGATTGATTTTAATTGCCGAGGGTTCTCTTGTGTTTGTCTGGTTTTTTGGGTCAAACACTGGCATGCCATGCTTCCGCATGTCTCGTCTGCCAGAAAAAGGAAGGAAACGAGTTAGGACAAAGTCAAACCCACAGTCAAGAGTCGGGGGAACCAATAACCTTCAGGATACATGACTTCAAGATACCCTAAACCAAGTCCTGCGCTTCTCATACATCGGGATTCCTTTGGAAAGTGTGTGGAGCCGTCTTTTCTTGAAGTGTATTGGGACCTGTATCGATTGGGGGGAGGCTCAGTCGATCTGGCGTTGCCCTCAGACAGATCATAAATTAAAATCAGATTGCGCAATCGCTGGGAATTTCCTTCGAGAGGCAGACGAAGGATGCCGCATCGTAGATGGTTCAGTAGCAGGGCGTTTACCAGATTGATTTCGAGGCTGATGCTGGGGCTCTTCCGATTCGAGTCCAGTTCTGGGATCCTCCTTCATTGTAGTGTTTTTTGCCTACTTTATTGTCGAATGGAAATTGAAATCGCAGTTAGCTTTCGCCTCCAGCATCCCAGCATCCTTCTCCTATGGATATTCTTTCTGAATTTAGTTGTAAATGTGTAAAGCGGCACATGCCACGCCCCGTTTGGCAGCTCAATTAAAAGCGTAGCTCCCTTGGACTCGGTTGGGGATTGGGAGGCACGATTGGTGGTACGATTGGGGGCAAATCAGTTGCGTTTGTTTGCTTTTTTGCGCTAAAGAAAGTTTTGTGTGCCACAAGCCGGGAGGGGAATCCCGTACCGGACCCCATTCCTTCTGGATATCTGGATTGCGGTCCCCCCCCCTCCCCCCGAGGTAACCACCTTGCTTCTCCTCCGCCTCCTGCCCTTCTGCTCCTGGCGCGTGCAGAATTTATGTCTCAATTTGTAGCCAACATGGGGCGAATTTTCAATTTGCGCGAATTTTGATTTATACGCCCCGAAAACCCAAGGCAAAAGGGAATCAAGAGAGGGAATACAAAGGGGAAAGGGAGAAGAAACGCAGAATAAAAGAGGGAAAGAGGGAAAGAGGGGAAGAGGGGGAGAGTTACAGAGAAAAGACAAACCAAAGACGAAACAAAGTTAAAATCAATGCGAGAAATCCCTTTTAGAGTTGACTGACCTTCATCTCCCGCTCTCTTGTCCCCCCCCACCCACAGTCGGACATCGTCCATCAGTCCGTGTACGAGCTGGTCCACTCGGAGGATCGAGAGGAGCTGCAGCGGCAGCTGCTGTGGAACAGCTTCCTGCCCGCGGACATGTCCAGCATGCAGCTCTCGGAGACCCTGGCACCGGACAAGGCGCTCTATCTGGAGCGCAGCTTCACCGTTCGCTTCCGCTGCCTGCTGGACAACACGAGTGGCTTCCTGCGGCTGGACATCCGGGGTCGCATCAAGATCCTGCACGGACAGAACCGGAAGACGGAGGAGCCGCCACTGGCGCTCTTCGCCTACTGCACACCCTTTGGCCCGCCCAGTCTCCTGGAGATACCGCACAAGGAGAACATGTTCAAGTCGAAGCACAAGCTGGACTTCTCCCTGGTCTCGATGGATCAGAGGGGCAAGCACATACTGGGCTATGCGGATGCCGAGCTGGTCAACATGGGCGGATACGATCTGGTGCACTACGATGACCTGGCCTATGTGGCCAGTGCCCATCAGGAGCGTAAGTTGCAACCACTACATGGTCTTCCACAGAAGAGCCTTTTGCTGACGATCCTCCTCCGTTTCCGTTTCAGTTCTCAAGACAGGCGCCTCGGGAATGATCGCCTACCGCTACCAGAAGAAGGATGGCGAGTGGCAGTGGCTGCAGACGAGCTCCCGTCTGGTGTACAAGAACTCCAAGCCGGACTTTGTGATCTGCACGCATCGCCAGCTGATGGACGAGGAGGGCCACGATCTGCTCGGCAAGCGAACCATGGACTTCAAGGTCAGCTACCTGGACACGGGCCTGGCGTCCACCTACTTCTCGGAGGCGGACCAGCTGGTTGTGCCGCCCAGTGCCTCGCCCACGGCCCACGCCCTGCCGCCGCCGGTGACCCCGACACGACCCAACCGGCGCTACAAGACGCAGCTGAGGGACTTCCTCTCCACGTGCCGCAGCAAACGCAAGCTCCAGCAGCAGCAGCAACAGCAGCAGCAGCAGAATCAGCAGACCTCGCCGCTCGGCGGTCAGGTGGGCTCGCCGGCGCCTGCCGTGGCTGTGGAGTACCTGCCCGATCCGGCGGTGGCCGTGGCCGCCGCCTACTCCAACCTCAATCCCATGTACACGGCCTCGCCGTACGGCAGTGCGGCGGACAATCTCTACATGGGCAGCTCCATGCCGGCCAATGCCTTCTATCCGGTCAGCGAGAACCTCTTCCACCAGTACCGGCTGCAGGGAGCCGTCGGCGGGTACTACACGGACTACCCGCACTCCGGGGCGCCAGCGTCGGCGTACGTGGCCAATGGTTTCCTCTCGTACGATGGCTATGCCATTGCCTCCAAGGCGGACGAGAAGTGGCAGGAGACGGGCAAGTACTACAGTGGCTACAGCAGCGGCTACGGCAGTCCCACGTCCACGCCCCAGGTGAGTGGCATCCTTTTTGCTATGGAGCTTCCCCTGGCTAACCTTTGTGTAATCCTTGTGCAGCAAATCCCCCTAAAGACGCCCAAGTCCTCGCCACAGGTCATGGAGGTCATCTCCTGCTCCTCGGACGGACCATCGCCGGTGAGTGGTGCCACGCCCAATGGCGCGATTCCCGTGACGCCCAAAGTGGAGCTTGCCGCAACGGCAGCAACAGCCGCCTCCGCTGCAGGCGGGGATCCCTACGAGAGGCAGACGGTGCTGATGTGGGGCACCACCCACTCGAGTGGCGTTCCCCTGAATAGTCTTCAGGGCGGACGCTCCGGATCCCCCCAACGCGCCACGCCCCTCACGAATGGCCTGGGATACGCCACGAATAACAACAACAACGAGCACGAGCCGGCGACGGCGGCCAAGTGGAACGGAGCGAAGGAGCTGGCGGGGAAATCGGCCAGCGCCAGCACGCCGGAGAGCTACCAAATGCAGCACGACGATTCCGGACTGTACTCCGCCTCCTCGCACACGACCTCGCCGCAGCAGCAGCAGCAGCAGCAACAGCAACAGCAACCACAACGTGGCGTTGCTTCCAATGTTAGCGCTCCAAGTATTCCTCTCACACACCCAGTGGCCGTCACGGGCACAGGCACCAGCACGGGCACAGATCATCAGGCGGTGCACCCGTCCAGCTGCCACCAACAGCAGCAGCAGCAGCAGCAACAACAGCAGCAGCAACAACAGCAGCAACAGCATCATCATGCCCACCCGCATCCGCACTCGCATCACCACCACCATCACCATCACCATCATGAGGCAGCGCATCATCAGCATGCAGCAGCAGCAGCAGCCGCGGCAAGCAGCGAGGTATGGACGCCCGCCTCCTACACGCAGTACTCGCAGTACTTCACGTATCATCCGCATCCGCATACGCATCCGCATTCGCATTCGCACCCGCACCACCCGTCGGCGGGCAGTAGCGGACACGTTCCGGCGGCCCAGTCGCATCACCTGCACCACGGTCACGGTCACCGCTAGATAGATTGGGGATAGATTGCACCCAGTATTGAAGCACACAAATCACTGTACTCTGTACTCTGTACTCCACTGTAATCCACTCACTGTAATCTCCACTGTAAACAACACACACTCCATACACACGCACACCAGTGCACCCATGAAGAGTGCTCTGTCGCCTGACTACTAACCGTAACGATCCTCCCTAGATCATACTCACGACCCATCAGCAGCAGCAGCAGCATCAGCAGCAGCAGCAGGTTCAGCAACAACAATCTCTTGGAGGCTACCCGCTGCATCATCCACTGCAGCTGGTGGGAGGACCGTCCTCATCGCCGCCGCCGCCCACAACCCGCTCGCCAACAGCCCTGCCCGCAGTGAGCAGTATCCTCAATGGTGCCACAGGAGCAACCACAACCGATGACGTCTCCCCCTACCAGCAGCTGGCCATTGTCTCCACGCCCCTGGTGATCTGCGCCGAGGAGGTGGGTGTCGGTGGAATGTCCTTGCAGCCGCTGAGCGACAGCAGCGAGACGACGCGCATGGGACGCAAGTCAGCCAAGCAGCAGGTGCAACAGTCCTTGCAACAACAGCAGCAGCAAACGCTTTACCAGCAGCATCAGACGCATCATCATCATTCACATCCACAGCACCATCCGCAACACCATTTGCTCTATCCGGCCAACATTACGGCGCATACAGCCTTGGCCTATGCCCCGCCGACGGCTGGGGGCGCCTATGCCGATGGCAGTCCGCTGCTCTCCTTCTCGGAGGTGACCAACACGCTGCTCAACCAGTGAGAGAGGGACTAGGAGTAGCAGTAGCAGTAGCAGTAGGAGCAGGCGAGCACATTCGTGTTCAACAGTTTTGCCAAAATGTGGACTATGACTATCGTATCTTCCATAATCTGAACCCTAGCACCTAGCAACCAAGCAAACCAGCAATTTGTGGATATATCCAGCGCACACCGAGTCATTTGGCTACTCCTTGGTTAAATCCGAGCAAACAGCAAGAAAAAACGAATTCTATTTATTTTACTGTGATAATTTATAGATACAATTTATTGTATATGAAACTATATTCGTAATACGTATCCGCATCCGTATCCGTATCCGTATCCACACTTCCATAGACACACGAATGGGCAATAGGATTTGGGTACAGCAGCGTTTAACCAGCACAAAGTTAAGAGGGGAACCGAACCGCTTCCCATCCGAGGAAGATCCCTTCGACAATCAATTTCAGTTGTAGTTGCGACCAAAGATTTCTCTAACTAACTTAAACTTATCGTTTAGCATAATACGTATACCCTACGATTCATTCAGATTGCGCCCAACTTTAGTTACATTTCCGTTGAGGTTACAGAACAAAGTAGGGGGTAAATGCCTAATTAGTTGCGTTTAAGAGTGCTTAAGTAGAACCTAAGATAATACCAGATGCTTGTATCCATATTTAATTTAATTTAACCCTAGACGTAAAGCGTAATGCAAGTTAATGTAATTCATTCATGATTCCTATGGTTTAGCATGTAATTCGACTAATCCCTCAGCGGATATATGTATGTATCTGTATATTTAAAGTTTTCTTGAAATTTCTAGTCGCCCGCATAAAAAACATTTACTTATAAATTAAACAAAATACCATACTACAATATACTATCTCTACTTCGATTGTGTAAACGTTTTGCAATTCGGCAGACAATATCAGTTCTGTCCCTTGTAGTCTGTACTACGATGCCAGCACATGACATGGACTTTTGGAATAAGCTAACAAAATCATTGCATACATGTGTTGGATGATTATGTGTATCCAAATCTAAAGAAACAAAATATAAAATATGTAGATACTCTCTCAGCTAATCAACGGGAAAAAACATATCAATTTCAATTACAAATTTATTACGAAACCCGAGTGCACGTAAAGCGCCTATCCAAAACAATCAGAGCGAAATAAATCTAGAAAATAATCAAATTAATCAAACACCCAGATTTTCCATTAGTTCGATGTCTTTGGGATCCTAAGGTGAAACATCCAATCCACACAAATCGTGGATGTGTGACTTGAACTTCGCGCCTACATAACATTTGTATGCCTGAAAAGCTGACAAAAATACTTATTGCCTACTTCCAGGCTGAGTCCCCAAATTCTTCAGTACATTTCAGCAACACTACCTTCGCAACATATATGAACATCACCAAGTTGGCAACATTGTTTTATTCCGCAACATCTTCTTTGCAACATATGTTTAGCCTTCAATAGAAAACATAATTTTACTTAAATTTTTTTTTAAATTAATGCAATTTAGTCGTGCTTTTTAAATTTTTCAATTCGTATAAGAAATGTATACATTTATCGGATGAAATCATTTTTTCTTTAAAAATCGCAATGGAAATGCTCATAAGGCATAGACTGCATGCCTTCTGTCTCCTCTATATGGAGGCCGATCTAGTAAACGGCACCAATCTTCTTGAACCCTGTGAAATTTTGAAATTAACCGATTGGCCGATATATTGCCGAGATACACTACAAAGAATGTTGCACATTTTCGTACAAAAAGAAGATATTAAGAGAGATTTGAAGTTTAATTTTCAGGGATACTTCTTTTAGCTCATGGTAACTCCTTTTCACTACCTTGACTAGGAATGCACCTCGAAAAAAGTGGCCAGGCAGCATCCTCCTCAATCTGTAAGCAATTCGTGGCCCAAGGTGTAACAATCAAGCAAATCAGTATTTTCATGGAGCAATGGCAATTCAACCGCAAGCCATTACCATCTCCAGCTTAATTGGAGACTTTACTGCCTTTAATTGACAACTACACAACGCTGACTCCCCACATAACACACACAGCACCTTTTGATTGACACCTTACAATCATATTTTCCTCGTCTTTATAGATAATGGAAAAGCATTCATCAGTTGCTGGGGCGCGATTTGAAGACCAACATTACGATGTACAAAAGAATAATCATCCATCGGTGCGGGAGCGCACCCAAAACCAAAACTAACACCGAAACCCATCTTGAATAGTAAGCAATCATATGTGGGCTGCGTTGTTTACGCTCAATATTAAATGATGTATTCTACGGTCGTACTCGCACGGATTATCCCAAGACCAAACAGATTTGCGCCTCCAAAGCAAACCAATTAATCACAAAAACACAGATTCCTGTATGCATGCGATACAATTCAAGCACTGAACCAAATTTCGGTTGAATTCACATTGAAAATACTCGTATTGTCGATAGTGATGGCTTTATTGTTGAAGAGGCACTGGCTGCCGCGCAGCGCACTTGACTCGGTTGCTTCGGATGCCCTCCGGGGTACCGCAGGCCATGTGGCTGCTCCTCCTGTTCCATTGCCAAGCGAAGGTTATGTGCGGAACAATAGACGTACGTACGTATATGCTACCATTTTGGCATTTCAGAACAACCCCCTGAAAGAAAATGTGGCATCAAGTGAATGGCTTGGCACGACAAGCGAATGACTGATGCTCTAATTGCTCTTGTCTTCAATCCTTAGCTTGAGGCCGGAGCTGAGCCCCGGCTGGACTGTCCACTGAACCATTTATAGCCTTCCATCGATAGGGTATTGGCTATGAGCTGTACAAATATATCGCTTGTTAACAACAGCCTTATGGCCGAGTTATTGTCTGGCGGACGGGACGGGACGGGCCAGTTCGTGTCTTGAGTCTTTCGTTTGACGCATCTTTGAGATCATTCTCTAATAGATTGCCGCTATAACTGAAAGAGAAACACCAACAGAAACCGAAACTGAAATGGAAATGGAAATAGAAATAAATACAACAATTAACAAAGTGCGCCGTTTGTTTACTTTGATTTACTTAACGTTTTTTTTGTATTTTTTCTTTTTTTTATGGTTTTAAGTTTCATTTTTTCATTGCATTGTTACTGTTGCTTGACCTTTAATAGTCGTGTTGTACATTGTGCCATGGGCGTCTTGGTAGGTCTGCCTCTGCCCCACTCACACCGTACCGTACAGACAGTTGGATCTGGAGATGTTGGTTCAAAAGTGTAGCTGGAGCATCTCAGAAATGCCTGCACAATTGAACTTCAAATCTTTGCTTTCGGGGTGGCAGTGTGTAAGTGCAATAAATGCTGCCAAAGGTGATAATCTTGGCTTATTCATTGCTCTTCATGTTCGTCACTTAAGGTCAATGATATGACCGAGCGGGGCTGACCGCATGCCGGACGCGAACGTGATCATCGCTCAACCGCTCTGACCTTGCATCATTGTTTGTTTGACAAATTTGTAGCAGGCCACAGAAGCGGACCAAACTTGCGACCGGATGCGGCTCGAAGTATCATGGCAGAAGAGAAGCACAGACAGAGACTGGCCGAGATATCTGGCAGGGCTCGCCGAGGTGTGTCCCTTTCCTCTTAGCACCTTCTGACGTCTGTGTGCCGTATGCGCAATATTTTCCATATATAAGTATTACTTGCTGTTATCAATTATGTGCGTGGGGTGTTAAGCCGGTCCACTTTCATTTTTCATGCACAGCACGACTTCCCTCAAGCGGTACAGAAACCTCTTAATAAACGTGTGAATCTTCCATTGGTTTCTGTGTGTTGTTTGCTTCTATTTGCTAAGCCGTAAAGCTCTTGGAAGCTCATGGAAATTGAATGTGGGGGGACCTTGCCTTGCTGAGATCTACTGCCAGAAGAAGAGTCGCCCGTCGGGTCGAGTGGCGACTCTGGCTATCAACATGAATTATGTGGAATTGCACCAATTTGGCAATTAAACATGTGTAGCGTGAGAGAACGACAGAGACGGCCAGTTAGCAGCGGGGGAAAGAGTGAAAGAGCTAGTGCTAGTGAGCATAAATGGCATCTACAAATGTTGCTGCTTATTTGCGGCTGAGCGACCTTCAGTGGAATCACAGCCAGGCCACAGATGATGATGATGATGATGACACACCTATGTACACCAATATATATTGTACATACATATGTTTGCCTCTATGTGTTTGGATTGGATTGAATTTTGTGGGTCCCACACCTTCTTCTTGGTGTTCTTTTGCCATGACTAGTGAACCCCTTTGACATCGCGCTGCTAATTGCAGAAACGAGCAGAGCAGATCCCAAACAGAAATAGAAACAGAAACAGAATTCCAAATTCGTGATATGCAAGAATTAAAAGTCATGGTATGCCGTGACATCAAGACAAAAAGAACACCCAGAATTAATAAAATGATATGATGCTAATGGGTTTTTTATCGCGCCCCCCAAATTGTTCTGTAACATCATGCATTTACGAGTATTTTTACTGGAAGCTGTGTCCATAGCCTTCTCTTATCAGATCGCCACATACTCCCTTCACCAACCCGCCTGAGTCATCATCTCTGATTGCGAATCTTCAGCTTGGTCCGAGCCAATCTTCAAGTGTCGCTTGCCATTAAATTGACCTTAAAAACGGCTTTCCATTGGGATGGATGGTGTGTCAAATGGGTCTCCAGCTGGCTGCTACCACAGCTACCGATTAATGATGGTGGTTATGATGATGATGCTATCGCAAGTCATTGCTCACCCAATTTCAAAATATATTAACCCGCACACACATGTATGTATGTACGACTACGGTACATCGATAAATTGAAGGAAAAAATCGTAGAGTAAATCCGCTCTAAGACAATTCCACCTCTTGGCATTCAGTGTGTGGCTCAAATTTCACTAATAGCCAAACCTTCATACCTCCCTCCCTCCCTCACCAACTCCCCCCCACGCGGCACCCCGCTTGCGGATCAATCGAACGATCGATCGATCGAATTTGATTTTCGGCTGCCGCCGCACTGAAGGTCGAGCTCCCCATCGATTCGTCTTCAGCGCAACTCAAAGATGAATTACATTTACATTTCGTTATTGTAATTGCCAACGAATGTGACCAGCGATACCCAAAACACACGATGAATATTTTGTACACATCATGATCGGGAAAGTGGGCTCTGCTGGAAAGGTCATTTTCGATTTGACATTGTCGGAATCAAATTCGGGGTTAGTCTGAACGGACTCGGGAACAGTTGTGTAGTCAAAAAATAAAACCAAAAAATAATTCCGATTATTTTAAATCTCCCAAAAGTTTTAAATAAATATTTTGCAATGAATCATTTTGAGGAGGGGACTACCCCCATGGATTACTGCGTTGAGGAACCGGAGTCTGGTGTTACCCAGGAGTCGGAAGACACAAGCGGCGAGGACTCGGAGCCACTCCGTGTGCGTGAGATGATTAAACTGTACAACTTTGCCACAGAACAGAACAAGGAGCTGAAGCACGTCAAGTCGATGTACTTGGCTTCTGGCAAGCCCCTGGCCCCCATCTTGGAGGACGGCGAGAGCTATTACAGCGTGACCGGCAGTCTGTCAGCGGATGAGCAAATCAAGGAGATGGAGATCGAGCCCAATAAAGAGTGAGTTGGGTGCGCCCCAGTGTACCCCCAGTGTGTGACCGCATCTTCTATACTTCGGCAGGAACGATGATGTTGCTGCAACAACCTTTTGTATGACCACCAAAGAGGATCGCACATTTTTGCGTGAGTGCCTCCAGTGCAACAAGGAAAAGAAAAATTCAGTGCCCATTGGGTCCCTGGAGAAGAGCTACACCAGCAGCACTACCATTCGGCGCACAGAAAAAGGTTCGTATTCGTGACTTATACTCCTGGTTGAAGGTCGAAGGCTGAAGGATGCCCCAACGCAATATTTACAGGTATTCGCATTATCATTGACATCTTCTGCGAATCTGGTGACAATACCATCGACATGGTGGGAAGTCTCGTGCAGACAAAGATCCCATCAAGTCGCATTCTGACCGAATTCCAGAACGCCACACTAGGATTGGGCATCGAGATGAAGCCCAAGCCCAAACAGTATTAAACTAGCCCAAGAAAACCCAACCAAATTCGATGTTACATACGCACAACCAACTTTTGTGTGTATGTGTGCTATTTTCTTTCTTTCGTTTTGACAGAAAATGCAAACAAAAAGCCACACACAAAAACGAAACATCGAATGACTCCACTTCCTCCAGAGTCCGTCACGAAAACTGAAAACTGAAAACTGTAAATGAAAATGAAAATGAAAATGGCAAAGAAAAACGCCTTGCGAATATGAAACCTAGAAACTCAATGAGGCAACACACGACAGGCGGCAAGGCAAGACGGACCTCAAGCCAGCCAAAGAAAACTACAACAACAACAACAACAAATGCAACACCAACAACAACAGCCTTTGCATCTGCACCGCAGCAGCATCCCTCGCCGCTTTTTCGACTCACGACAAAAGGGCTCTCGAGAGTAAATAAACGGCATGAATTGAAAATGGAAAATGGAAATCTTCGCTTCGCTTACAAAACCTAACCAACCAACCAACCAACAGCCCAACCGCCAGAAATCTGACTGAATGATGCCGCCAAAAGAGCCAGCGAATGAACGAATCTTAGATGAGGAAAATGCTTTCGCAACTTGCCGCCCAATCTGGCTTAGATCTCCACCACTGCCACCACTGCCGCTACTCTCGATTGCTCTATTTAGCCTGCTTCGCTTCTGCTTCTGGCCCAGCATCAAGTTTCAGCCCCAAGTATCAGCGGCAAACGTTCCAATAAATTAGACAAATAAACACCCATCAGTGGGTGAAGGGTTTCCCTAAACGATGGCATTGCAAATGCTAATAACGTGCAATGAAAACTGAAAATGAAAATGAAAACTGAAACGGAGAAGCTGTTAACTGTTAACTGAAAATGAGAATGAAAATTAAGCTGCAATGTTAACGCTTTGCTGACTGAGACGGAGGCTTGCCCACTCGGCCCCAAGCCGATGACGATCCAACTTCGTTAGCTGCCAGAGAAGATGCTGCACAGTGGATGGAAAGACGACTTTAATTGTTTGTTATATTTTAAATAGTTGGTTTATTTAGTTTCTGGAATAGGTAAGTCCCTAAACGGGATCACTCCCAAGGCAGATTCTACTAATCAAATATTCTTTAGAATCCACAAAGAACATTTCTTGGAGGAAACCATCACAAAAATACGATTTTGACTTTCAACAGATCAAGAGTCGGAACAATTTCCACTTTATCGATCTTCACCTGACGTCCCCTGCAATTCAACTCAATTTGATCCAATTTTAGAGACAACAATTCCACTGAAAAGTCCTCATAAAGTCAACTTTGGGGTCTGGGCAAATCTTTAAATTGTTCCTAACCAAATCCAATCTAAACTAACTCAAAATTTGTAGCACATCTGAACTCAATTTAGCTTTTTTGGCCATAATCGAAAGCATTCTGAATATATTTCTTCACAAATTAACAGAATTTTCTCTCTTGCGTGTAGGCGGCCTAGCCATGCCATGCCATGCCATGCCACTGTCGCCCACTGTACTCGGGTGACGAAGCTCTGCTTGGCGCTTCTTTTGTGTTGTATCTGCTGCCTCCGACTGGCTCTGTCTCAGCCTCTGTCTCAGCCTCTGTCTCTGCCTCTGTCTCTGACTGTTGCGGGCGGCCTAATGTGAATTTTAAACCAAGTTGGGTGCACTCGGAGGTATCAGTTCAAAGCGCGACTTCGTGCGACTCGGTTGTGTCGTTCCGCCAAAATCCCGCCATCCCCGAGATACAAAGATACTGAAAAGCATCTGCAGACGCGCGATATTTTGAAGTTGTGTCTGGGCAGGACTGTGTGAACTTGTGTGTGTTGATGGCATGCCAGAAGCGGAATATATTGTATAATTTATGCGAACCGATTTGGTTCCAGTGTGTGAGTGCTCTTGACTTTGTTTGGAGCACTGGAAGCGAGCTGCAACTGCAGCTAGATGCACCACTCGGCACTCCAATCGGCTGCTGTCTCTGACATTTGATCTTTGCAAAGATCACATAGTTTCGTACCTCGCACCGCCTCGAATCTCGCATTGCATTGCATCGGATGTGTGACCATATGGAATATACTTTAGCCACCTACCACCACCTACAGCGGCAATTAGTTTGTTCAGTTTAAGACTGCAACGGCGACACGGGCGAAGGTGAGCCATAAGCTGTGGATCAGCATTGATGCATCTTAATAACTTCCTCTGCGATCCCGCAATCCATGGGGGTTCTGAGAGGGCGCCGAAGACAGTCAGATGCTTTGGAAAACAATTAGAAAAATGCCAGCGATGTCTGAGCCAATGCTTTTTGGCCTGGCCCTGCTATAATCAACCTGTAATGCCAGCTAATTGGCATAATTGTTGTAGTAGATGTTGTTTCTCTTCTGCTATTATTCGCTGGGAGTCTTTGAGCATCTTTGAGTTAGATTCGCAATGCTCTTTCAGTGGAAATTACTGGCAAAAATGTCAAATAGGCTTCGCCTTGCTGGCCACAAGCACAAGGCAGCCAAAAATAACCCAGCAACAAGAAAAAAAACAAAAATAAAACTTAAACCAGCATCACGAGCTCCAGAGGCCGAAGAGGATAAAGCAGTAAATATTTCCCGCTGTCGTTGTCAAAAAGGTCAAGACAAGGAAAATCCACCAAAACTAGATGCCAGTCCAATAATGTTCAAGAGGCTCTGTGCCGAGGCCTGTTGCTTCTGCCTGCCACTGCTGCCCCTGCGGCGTCTGCCGCTGCTGTTGTTGCCACACGCACTTGACTGAAATGGCGGCTGGCCTGGCCGCAACTTGCCCCAAATGTTGTGGTTAGCATTGAGATAGATGATCTCGTTAGCCAATAATATGGCTGAGATTGCATGTGATAGTTGAACTTTTGGCTAGAGCTTCAATCTTTGGATATTAATATAAACTGGGGTACTTGGGATAAATCTACACAATAATGCTCGTTGAGTTGAATCCTTGAGAGAGCTTCTTTCAAAAACAAAGCCAGTAGTCGGTACAGAGGGTGCACTACTACCCTAAGAGGCCTTTGGGATCCCAAAATGGTAGCCTCAAGGCTTCTATTTTTGCTCCGAATCCTTTCCTTGGGCGCCTGTCGAAACCGTTCTGAAGATTTGTCTATTTGAACTGACATGTTTACGATCGCATAATTCAAGTTCAACCACTCAAACCGACAGTCATCTGCCATCATCTACAAGATTATCTCGAAGCAAGATTTGACAGATTTTTCTCTGATGCAGTCATACAGAGTTAGCCAGAGTTAAGAGCGTTAGCCAGCATCAGGAATATATGTATGTGTATTGAGGAGAATGTTAGCAGAAAGATGTACTTGCTGGATGTACTATTGGATTAGTTTGGTAGCCCAAATTGGGTATCCGACATGATTAAGCAGTCAAGTTGTAGACGCTACATATCTCTCGTAATACCCACCACAAACGGACGTGCTTGACCCCATCTGGATACACAAAGTATATAGTTTACAGCATCCGACGGACAGCTCAATTTGGGCTTATTTGGCTAGAATAAATAGCCATAAAATGCATTTACAATTCGGATGGGATGCTTTGTTGGCCACTGCGCCTGACAGTTTCATTGCTGTGTGGTGTGTGCGGCTCTGGTGGTGGAGAGTATCATCTACGGGTGTGGAGATGTGTGGAGTGGAGTGGCAAGGTTGTAAAATTGAATTGTAGGTGGAGGTCGAGACGTGGCGCAGGCCCAGAGGAGATGGAAGACTCCACCACAGTACTTACTGCGAATTCTAAAGATATAACAACAGTTAAAGTTAATGTTTTATAAATTACAATTCATTACAAAACCTCAAATCGACAATAAGCAATATGAAAACGATGAAAATTGATTTCCCCCGCACAACAAAACAACAAAAAGCAACTTAACAGCATTAAGTATTTTCAATTGGAAAGAGAGATATTTTTTGGGAAAGTTACGACTAAAGTAAACAGAGTTTCTGTTACGCAAAGATTGGCAACAAAAGACTCATGTATGGCATTATTATAGGATGGATGGATGGATGGTCGGAAGGGAATGATGCGAGGCATTGTATAAGGCAATTAGCGCTTGCTTAGGGCCCTCCTGCACTTTCCCATCACTGGCACAATGTCTATTCAATAACTGCTTTATTAATGCCTTTTCAGTTGTAAGCCCTCCTCAAGCATATCACCCAACCGGAGCTCCGGAGAGAACGATCATCGAAATGTTCACGCAAGCGATCCCAAAGTATTCGCGGCTCTTGGCCCTGGCTTTGTTCTGCGCGACGCTATTTTTGGGCAGTGAGGTAAGTTTTGACATCTACCCTTAGCCTCGGGGGACTCGGTGGACTCAGGGCGCTATGCCCGATCGAGAGGGAATGTGAGAGATATGCCAGAGATAGCGATGGCGATAGCTGTGCCGATTGTGCACGTGAGACGAGCATTGAAATGCAAATTACGGAATTGTATAAATATTTAAATACTTCATATATATTTTCTGGCTGGAAAGGTGCTTATTAGCGCCTCGCCAGAGATTGTAGTAATTAATTGCTGAAACACTGTAAACACTGGTATGCTATGCCCGATGCTAATGAAGCTCGGACTAAGTATCTAAGTGAGCATTTAGGAGGGTACGAAATGTATTATAATAGTTACTGAAATTGAATACAATCACTTCCACTTGCACCCCACAACCATAAATCCATCTCCGGCCCCAAGATAACGGGCTACCATAATTCGAAACGTGACCCCGGCGCAGTGGTTCAGGGGCGTGACCAAAATGGGGATGCTATCGGAACATGTTTCCTGGGGTCACCCCTACAGAAGACAATGGAGGAGTTTTTCCAATACACATGCAAGTAGATTTGCACAGAGAAAGTCTCAAATTTTCAAGTCCCTTTTAGGAGAACTTTCCCTGCAAACTTGCAGAAAAACTGAACTTAAGCAAACACAAACCAAACTTCATCTTGGGTTCGCCCCTGGGCGGCTGACTCCATCGCCATCTTGATCGTCTTAGCCATCTAGCATTGCTTCCCAAGACACTCTTTGAGCAACGGCGGAAAGTGTTGTAATTCTGCGCTCTTTACGCTTTGTTTCGTTTTTAATTTATTCTCGTGTGTGTCTCCGTGAGTGCATCCACTATTCACACACACAAAACTCACCCACATCCACTTGGGCTCCCTGGCAAAGGTCTCCTCCGAGTATATTAAAAACAAAAGACTCGGATGACCAAGTGACCTTTTTCCCCCCCTCCCACCGAAACTCTGACACTTTTGCAGAAATGGAACAACCAGCAACAGCGAGAAAAGTGTGTTGATTGTTTTCGCTATTTGCATACAAGAAATTAAAACCAAACTCGCGATGCGGATGGAATGGGTCTGAGCCGAACCCAAGCCGAACTGAACTGAAGTGTCTGGGCTTTGGGCTGTTTTGCCACGGACGAGTGGTTAACTAGGCGCAGAATGTGTGTCTTTGCTGTGGCCCATAAATATGCCTGCAAATGAAATTGAAGACCGTTTCAAATTATGGCAAATTACCCAAATAAAAAAAACACAAGCACACGCCACACAATAAACTTCGCGAAATTGAAAACTTTAGTTGGGCCTTGGATTGCACAATCTACAAAACCGAATCAAGCTCTTCTTCCTTAAGTGCTTTTCCATCTTATTTGGTTTGATTGCCATCCAGGCTGCCTTTTTGCAGTTCCAGTAATTTGATTATCACCGTGTCGTAGATACGACCTTATAAGGTAAAGTGAAGCTCAAGCCAAGACAAATTCAGCTTCAACTTTACAAGCTTCTAGTCGGATGCAATCACATGACCTTATGGGGTGAAGAAAAGAAGAAAAAGAAGCATTAAGCGAGTCTAATTGAGTTCAAATTAAGCTGCAAATAAATACCTTTCTAGGAGAATTGAATGGGTGGATGGGATGGCCAATCATTTATAATTGAGAAAACCCTAAGCTACCTCTTACTTTTCGACATTTTGACCAGGCTTACATAAGCATTCCCTTAAGGTGTCAAAGGTGTCAAAGATTTCATAGATTGTATCGAATGGAATGCTGGGAAAATGTACTCTTATGGGTGTTTTTCATTTTTCACGGACCCTTGCGGAAGCTTCTTCTCACATCAGATGTTCGCACCTACTCCCAGACAGATCCACTGGCAGATTTCGATAAGTCATTGGGCTATAATTTGCGACTACCGACGTGAAATTTTTTCTATATAATTAAACAAAACATAAAGAAACATTCACAATATCAACAGCAAGGCAAGTGCAGCAGCAAAAAGTAAAAAACCTAAAAATAAAGTTGACATTTCACACAGCGGCAGCAGGTCGTCTGTTGCAAGCAGCCGTGGCACCATGTGCCAACTTATGACATCACTTCAATTCATCACTTCTGGGCCCGGGCCATGGCAACCTAAGAGCAAAACTTACATACATGCAGCACACAACGTACAACGTACAACGTACAGCGTACATTTTGCAGCCTGCAGCTTGCAGCCGGCAGTCACACATGACGGGGCACGAGTACGCGCAGATGATATCGATCTCTCGCCATCATTTGTTTTTGGCCAGTCTAATAGTTTGGGGCCTGAGAAAGGCCCCCGTCAGGGCTTCCAGCCAATTATGCTTGCCAGCCCTTATCTTAAGTGAGACCCCTGGGGAGTATTCACAGCGGTTCCTTTTATTGTGATGCCTATTTCGCAAAACCTATACTTACAGATATTATCTACATATGATGAAGAACCAGGGCCGAAGTGGGTGGATTATTATCTGTCTGTCTATATAGTATCTATCTGTTAAACTGATGACCCATTTGCTTTTCTCCGTGTAGGCCCAAAATGCCTTTCAGGCAACAAGTCCTGCCTCGCATCTCATGGAGAAGACTTCGTTTTCGTGCACAGGACGACCAGCTGGCTACTACGCGGACGTGGAGACGGGCTGTCAAGTGTACCATATGTGCGATGGCCTGGGCCGTCAGTTCAGCTACACGTGCCCCAACACGACGCTCTTCCAGCAGCGCATGCTCATCTGCGATCACTGGTACATGGTCAACTGCTCCAAGGCGGAGAGCAACTATGCCGCCAATCTGCTAATTGGTTGGTGCTTTTACGATCTCTCTCCAAATGCCACAGGATAATCCCATTGAATACTTTGCATAGGTCAGCGCGACAAGCCCTTTGTGAACGATGAGGAAAATAGTCTGAGAACCCCAAGACCCGACCTCCTGGATCGTCCCTATGCTCCTGACTATTCGGGCGAGTCCTTTAGAAGTCAATACAAGGTGAGTTCATGCAGTCTCGAAGAAGGACATCTAAATAATGCGAATATATCGCCTTGACAGCAACTAACTCCCAACCAGAATCAAATACGTGACGAGTCCTTCAAGGGTGCCAATGTCGGATCTGCAAAATATGATCCACAAATTTCGACGCAGACCCGTTGGCGCATCCCTCCGCCCAGTCGTACCATCCAGCCACCGGCCTACGAGCCACAGATCGAGCTGCCAAGCAGCACAGCGAGACCAAGGATCACCACGACCACCAGTCGAGCGACCACCAGTCGAGCCACCACCAGTCGAGCTACCACTAGGACGACAACAACGACTACAACTCGGAGACCTATCACTGTGAGCGTGTCCACCAAACGAACAGAGGCACTGCACACCCGCAGGCCGACAGCCCTGGCAGTGGATCATGACATGGACGATCTGGGAACCAGTCACAGCACGCGGTACAATACCTCGGCGGACTTTAATTCGGTGGAGGGACCGCTACGGGCCACAAAGAACACCAGCACGAAGCTGGTCAAGTTCGTAAAGCCGCCATCGAAGATCTACGAGCCGCCGTTCCTGTATCCCATTTACAACCAGGATGAAGAGACAAGACAACCAGCTCCAGCTGCCATTGGACCGGTGACCCTTCGCACCTCCACAGCAGCCCCATTCAGTCCGAGTGTCAGCCGGATACACATCAGCGAGACCAGCACCACTGCGCGTCCTCAAAACCGGCCCACAACCTTGGCGGGCTTGCCCTTCTCCTTTGCCTCGCCACCCACGACGACGAGCACGGCAGCAGTTCCTCCACGGAACGAGAACCGAACTCCGGCCCCGGCACAGAGTTTCCGCCTGGTCACAACCACATCCGTGCCCAACATTGCACCGCCAGCACAGCAGAAGCTGCAGCTACCGTTCAATGATCTGTTACCACCATTTGTGGACTTTGTTCCCCATGACATAGCCACCACTCAGGGACCGCCCATCTATTACGAGTGGAAAGTGCCCTCCAATGGCTTGGAACCCCCCAAGCTTGATCCTCCAATCGGCGTAGATGGACGTGAGTACCCCGAGACCACTGGCGACTATGGGGTTGTCCAGGGTAGGGGTAACGCGGACATATTTAATACCAGGCTGAACGACATAGCCAGCCATCAGCAGAAACCAGCAGATCGTGTTCAGGTCCAGGTGCCGGTACAGCAATCGAGCACCAGCAGACGCTTACCCACCTCCAGGTCCATCAAAACCACGGAGAAGTATGATCAGGCACAGCGTCGCTCGGATGTGGTGGGAAGTTCCACGGATATAACAACGCTACGAAAGCAGCTGCTCATTCCGGAGTACGCCTTTCCCCTGGAAGCGATCGGGCGGACGGGCTATGGTCCTGGGGCCGGTATCGGGGCCAGTTCCAGCTCCAGTACCGGAGATGTGTACAATTCCTTTCAGTTAAAGATACCCGAGCATCGTAGCGGATTGGGCAGCAGTTCCAGCAAATGGTTCGGCGAAAATCCCAAGTGTCCGGAGTGCCATCCATCGTTCGTCCTGCCGGGCACCTGCGAGCCATGTCTGAGGAGATAGTCCAGCTCTACATAGGTTCCAATTTATCTATAAACTGCATTCCATTATCCGCATCTGCATCTGCCCCTAGGTCCTAGTATTAGCCCTTGCTGCCCCAGAGCCAGAGAGAAGCATCTTTCACGCATTTAAATGTTAAAGTTATTGTATATCAGCAATAAAGACAATGATTATTGTTCGATTATTAAAGTTAAGCTAATTATGTTGTGAATCATGTATTTTGGATATATGCATGTATGTACATAGATACATATGGCCCCTTTTCGTATTTCAGAAGTTTTCAAATAAGTAAAGAAAAACAAAGCAGCAGGCAGGCTAGGGATCAGACAAAAATGTTATGAGCTGTCTGCCTAAATGGATTTTCAAAATTATTTATTTCCGTGTGTTTCGGGTGTACCCAAACATGGGTGAGAGGTCAAGCAAAAGCGGATACCTTGGTAGTGTAACGATTCCGCCGATAGGAAAACTGGGCGACCAGGATAACTATTGGACTTGGCGCATACTAATACGATCTTATCTGGAGGCTCTAGGACTATGGGCGGGAAACTTCCCGAGGGAGGTAAAAAATGCAAATTGGTTCAATGCGTTGCCGACACGTTGCAATAAATATTTGTACTTGTTCCAGGGCCCCCAAGCCAAGTTCATTTTGCTGAGCACAGTTGAAATTTGGATATTGAGAAGAGAATATGAACATTTCAATTGTAAACAAATTTATCAAGATCTCGAGAAACGGTTTAGTGTACCTCGACCAAAATCTGCCACAACTCTGTAACCATTTAGGAACTCGACAGAATATAATAGACTGATTTTCGATTATTTAAATGGTATATTGTTTAGTATTTGGTGCTTAGTATGTTTAGTCTATACGTATGTGTAGTTGCATTTAGCAAATTAGATGTGCGCGCTTCGCAACATGGTATTTTTAAAAAAGTTGCTCAACATTTATAAAGTTGTGCTTCATTGGTACATTTTTGAATTCAGATGCTAATTTAATTTAAGTTAACCAATCTTGTCGGAAATTGATTTAATAACTGGATAAAAATATGTGGGCAGGGTTGAGGGTTCTATCCAGCTGGTAATATTCGAAGGAATATAAAAATAATTCGTCAGTACATTATATTTTGAAAATGAGACGGTATATTTCGGTATATTTTTGTGGGTCAGACCGTATATCTTATCGGCTGTTCGCTTCTCTTCTATTTTTTTGCACAAACCACTTTTATTTTCAACGTTATATAGAAATCCAATGAAAACAAGTGTTAAAATTAAGCAAGTTAAGTAGAAAACTGATTCATCAATCGAATAAAACTATGTGGGAAAAGCTTGGAGATCTATATAGCTGGGAATATTCGACGGAAGAAAGAATAACCAGGAATTAGTCATCATAACCGGTTGACAACAATGATTACCGGCAACATTCATTGTCATACCCTAGGGAAAAGGATGTTATAGAACTGAGAAAATGTTTGTCATCCAAGGCTCCATCAAGGTATCAGGATCGAGATAAATATATACAAGATACTAAAAATATACATGAATATGTCTAAAACATATCAATTTGAGAAAAGTTCTTTATAAATTTCATATAAAGTTAATGAAATAGGGTATAAAAATGCCTATACACGCATCATGTCTTCAAATACCAGCAACACTGCGACTGTTTTTTTGTTGAGCTATTTTTTTTAAGCCTTATTTTAGCCAAAATACAATAAAAGCAAGGACTAAAAACTAGCCAATCTTGAAGAAAATTTATTCGTCAACGGCCTAAAATTATGTGAGCAGAACTAAGGGTTTTGGTTAGCCAGAATTATTCAAGGAAATATAAAAATTGAACGACTATCGTCTTTCGCTTTTTGTGCTAAATCCGTTTTTTGTATGACCATTTTCGCTAAAACCTTTTTTTACGCAAAATGCAATAAAAGCAAGTACTTAGAATAAGCCAGTTAAGCAGAAGAATTATTCATGAATCGTATAAAGTTATGTGGGCATGGCTAAATGTGCTATATAGCTGAGAATATTCCACGGAAGATCAAAAACGAGGAATATGTAAAATAGAACTTGCATTCGTCAGTATATTTTCGGTATATTTCGGTATATTTCTGTGGGTCAGACCGTATATCTTATCGCTAAATGACAACAATGCTGGCAAAATAAAAATAAAGCAACCCGCTTGAAAAAACTCAACAATTAAAATATATTCGGATTTCATATAACTAATATTTACACGTGCACGCCTTTGCGGAGCGAGATCTTTGAGCTAGAACCAGTGCTTTACGTTCATCTATAGCGACCAAAATGACACGTAAGTAGCATTGTGGCTTGTGATTTGTCCCTTCCACATTTATACTTAAATAAAGAAGTATAACCAGAAGACCGACGAAGATACATCTAGCGAAGGTTCAGGTGTGCTACAAGATATATCCTTAAGCATCTGGCTACACCAACTAGTGTAGGGTCAATTCTTCTTCCACATAAGTGGGTGTAAAATCGATGGCTGGTTTTAGGACATGCGACAGCGACCACGAAGCGTGTGCGCTTCTAACCTCTTTGCCACCGCGATTAGATCATTTAGCACGCGCGACTAAATACGGCTTAAGTTATCAACCGATCGTTTATTTTCACAGGGGGAAACCAAAGAGACCTAGCGCGCCAGAAGAACCAGAAGAAACTGTCGGACCAGACCAAGGGAAAACGTACCGATAATCTAACTGTGGAGCAGCGCAAGGCTAGGTCAGTATCGAGTAAAGTTAAAGTACTACGAGCATTATGATGATCATAACTATTCTAGGGATGCTGAGGTGATGCGTGAGAAACAAAAGAAGAAGGAAGATGCTGCAGCAGCTGGGACCAGTAAATAGAGACCGGCCAATCGACCATCAGGTAGACAGATGCAGGCGTGGGTTAAACACAAAATTGTTAGCGGATAGTCAGTCGTTGTATCCCAGGATCTAGGACCGTCAGCGCCATTGTACATGAGTAACATAATGAGAATTTAATAAATTTCAACGCTACAACTATGCAGCTATTGCTAAACCAAGCAATAACTAAGCAATTCCCTGGTCACGCAACACAAACGGTCTCAATGGATTTCGATTTCAATACCGCCCTGGTTTTCGTTCTCTTTCCTTTTTGCAGTCCGGCTGAACCATAATTAAGGAAATTGATTATTTTTCAACATACCTGATCAAATTATTTACTGTAATGTATTTAATATATAAATTTTCAAAATAAAACATAGTATGCAGCCAAAAAGCGTTGAACTAAACAATCTCAAAGTCTAGCTATTTAATATGTATTGTGTTTGACGAAAATCTATATATACAGGCAGGCTCCGTTGTTCACTTACTTTTGCGGATTACTTTTTCAGCCAAAACGTTTCGTTTTAAGGTGTTCTTGTTGTTGCCCTGGTCAATTTTTCCGAGCCAAATTTGAGGTTGGGTTAAAATAAAATTATTTATAAAGAAAAGACAAAAGTTAAATTACCCTGATACAGGTGTCAAGCTTATGTTAATGCATCAATAAGTCATCTGTTTTTTTCCTTTTGCAATTAAGGTTCGTTTCGTTGTATAAAAAGCAGTTTACTTTCTGTCGGGCCAAAGAGGTCCTGCAAGCTATTGTGCAGTCATTGACCCAATTTATTTTTATCCATTGCCTTAACAAACATCCTCCACCCCACTCAAATCTGACACGAAATTTGCATACAATAGAAGACAGATAGAAGTTCCAGCAAACAGCAAACAAAGGGAACGAAACCAGCTTAGTTGGGGCATGATTTGATAAATATGAAAGTAGCTGCATGGCCCACAAAACTCTCGCCAAGCAGTCGATCGTTGAACGGGCCCAACTGCCAATAAGTTGAATGCCAGCATTTACCATTTTAAGGCAAAATGTCCAAAAACTTGGCGACTAACACTAACGGCAGTGGCTAAGCAAGTAACCAAAAATGGCAGCAGGAGACATGGCGTGATGGCATATCTAAGGCGCATCTTGAATAGGGGGATACGCGGATGTTGGGCAGGGGTCGGTCCAGCCCAAGTAATGTGGATTGAGAACGAGCGGAGCAAGTTTTAATGATGATTTGTTTGGTTAGGATAGTGCAAAGTCTTGTAACCGAACCGTATCGCATCCATTGTTTCTCCAAGTGGTGTTTGATAACTCTATGCCGGAACAATCTGGAAAACTGGTTCTCCCTCAGAGAAAGCTTTCCCAAAAAAGCTTGTCGCTGCCTTAAACTTAGTTTAAGAACCTTGCTGCTACTAAGAGAAAGAACCAGCAGAAACGCGAGCAGTAGATGAGAGCAAAAATCGCTATGCGATCACTGGGACTGCGCTGTTTCGGCCGCTGCCAACGCTGGCGCTCTCTAGCGACAGAGACTCGTGTTCAGTGGCGCAGCGCGTTTTCAGTCGCTTCGTGAATCTCGCCGTAAACACAACAGAAACGCGCGCAAATCGAATTGAAATCGCGTCAAAACTTTCTGAAGAATAATACATGAAAATATCCAATTATACATATATATCATACGAGCACTAATCAATTGCAAGGCCATAAAGAGTCGATTGGTTCCAAATACCTATTGTAACCCTCCCATTCAGCAAAAGTAGAAAGTGTAAGTGTAATTTGGTTTATATTTGGCGATCGATCGCTGCGGGCCACTTGCCAAATGCCTGACATTATCAGCGAAAAAGTGCAGCCAAATGGCAGAACGATCTCAATCGAATGCAAATCAAGTGATAAACGATCGTTTCGAAATTAAAATAACAGGCGAACAGCTCCCCAACGGAGGTGGATATGTGCAGTAGGAGCCCCCCAGCCACAGTAGCCAGAGACCTAGAGCCAGTCCCAGTCCCAGCTGGCGACTTGATTGCTCGTCTGCCTTGGCTCTGTGTGTGTTTTCTTTATTTTTTGTTGTATTTTTTATACAAAACATATTCAATTTCATTTAGCTGCCGCGCAGCCAGCAATTTCAATATTCAAATGATCTGAGTCTGAGTCTGAGTCTGGCGCGTTACGATACGATTTTTCTGAGCGCCGGCAAATACAAATTATGACAAATGCGCTAAAAACACTCTCCACCGCAATACCGCAAAAATACAGAAAAACCGAATATAAATTAAAAAAAAAAAAATAATGCCACCGCTTGTTTTGACTTCTGATTGTCGATCCCCAGATCTCTGATCCGGCCTGACCCAAATGCTATCTCGGCATAGGCAGAAACAGTTTGCTAGCTTTGATTATTGCTTTTGCAAATTGCGATCTATATAGACACACAGCTATATATATAAGGAGCTGCTGCTGCTGATGTAAATGTGCATGATGTCAGCAAAACCAAGATGACATTGAAATCGTTTACGAACTGCCATATCATATCCCACCTTTTTGGGGACTCAGAAGGAGAGAGAGAGGTAAACAAGTCGGCGGTTGAACAGGTTGGAATAAAGGATATGTAGGTCAATAAAAAGTTCACTTCCATGCGGAGGCGTAGACGTAAATTACGTTCTCAAAATGTTAATTGAATCTTTTTAGATATTCCAGACATTGGCGATCCATAAAACTCACATTCAAGCTGAAAATTAACAGTGAGGCGGTGAATATTAAGCAGACTCTCCCATTGAGACACAATTATTAGTGGAAATGATCGAATTCGAAGATCTCCGATCAAGCAAAGTTCAGTGACGCGCATCGCATCCATTAGGAATAAATGAAAAAAAAAGAATTAACAAGATAGAGGAAAGAACAATGTGAAGGTTACAAAATACACAAGGCAACAGATAAAACAGCGACGAAAATATATGACAACAAAAAACAAAAAAAAAACAGACACACAAAAACACATTCTAGCTGAATAAATAGGAATGGCAGAAGGCGTTCGCACACCTACGCTGCCCCACAGTGGCGGCGAATAGTTAATGCCAGATGCCAGATGACGGAGGAGATTGAGGCCTACCACTTGACCACAAATCTGTGTTCCACTGTTCATTGATCGGGTATTCGCAATACAATTGGGTAATTTCCATTACAAAAAGTTCTAAGGTAGCTGCTGGTAGGCTGGCGACTAAAATATGGCATTTTATGGGTCTGTTCTGTTGTTTTTGCTAGATCTCTCAGTTGAATGCTCGCGACCTTGTGTGGCTATTTATAAGCATTTTCGTGTATTTATTTTCTATGTTCTCCTCTCATAAATGAATCATTTTAATGTGGGAGCGAAAACTTTCGCTTTGGGTGGGGAAAACGAAAGCCGAATGATACTCTAGAATTGCCTTTTTGAACGCGTTCAATGTCGCCGCCGCCTCCCTGACCATGAAGAACATTGACAGAACGTGGAAAAGTATCTCGTGGATTCATGCATATGGATCTGGGAAAGTGTCGGGGCAGTGTGGCAGTGCGTGCCGCACCATAAAGGCGCCGCCGCGTAATTGCAAAATCATGAATTGAAATTGAAAGCAAAGCCCCGTCGGCAAAGGCCACTTCAAAGGCTGCTGCGAAATGCAATTGAGTTCTGCAGCTGCAACGGGCTTAATTGATTTATATGGCAAGTCGAGCGATCGGGAACCGAGTGCTGAAAGCCAGAAACCATCGACCAAATTCAATTTGACAAAAAGCTAAGACAAAGGCCGCGCGTTCAAGTGGCAGAAACCAGCAAAATAAATAAAAGCCAAAAAATGCCGCGTGCTTGAGACTTGTCAAATTTGGTAGAACGATTTTTGACCGGTTTGAAACCCGACTTGGCGACTCATCGGAGCAGTTCCCACTTATGCTTTTAGCCTGCCTTAGATTGAGTAATTTCCAGCCACATCGCAGCTCAATTGCAGATACAGATATGCACGGCTTTGCCTTTGTCTTGCCCGAGTATCTTTTGTGTCTGGGCGCAAAAAGTAGCGCACAAGAATGTCAAACTTAATTACGCGTTGAAGCGCAAACTAATTGGTGGATTGGGTTGAACAGTGGGGGTGTGTAGAGGCGTAGAAGGGGTCGCAAAAGTTCGCCCCCTGCGACAAAGTGAACAACAAAAGAGTTGAAAATAATTGGCGCCGGCTTCGCTGGCGGCAGTACCAGATACCAGATAAATGCCAAAAACAATCATGTATCCGGCAGATACAAAAGTCAGACCCCTGGACACGCGCTCACTGCACACGAAAATTACAAAAGCCGATCGGGTTGGGCAGTTGTTGATTTAAACAATTTTCCCTGGGCTATACGATCGTACATACTCGAATAACCGAAGCAGTTGACATGATTTATATGGACAATATTTTTAGTTCGCTTGCTCTAGACAAATGGGTCACGATTTGATTAATGAATGATGATAAATGTAAATTTTACATTTTTTAATAGCTTAATGTTCAGCTTAACTTAACTGAATGTTTAGGCTTTCCTGGGAGATGGGTTTCTGTTGAGGGAACTGTTGTATGATAATCTCTCACTTGCTTTTCCCAGAAAAAGTTGTTTGGCTTTCCCCCGATTCTCGAACATCTTCTGGCTAACATTACCTTTCACATTTGCCAGCATCTGACAACTTTTACTCCCACACACAGTCAGACAGACTCTGCATCACAACCTACAAACACCGACCAAAATGCAATGACAGCCGCGTCCAGTTGCACTTGTCAAGTCTTAAACACTTTCCAACTCATAAAACCCACATCGAGTGCTGTTGGGGCAGAAATTCCTCAGAAAAAGTCGCCCACGCTGGATTTTGAACTTGACTCCGTCAGCGTCAGATCCGGAGGGGATTGCGATTATAATTCTACTTTATGGGAGCGCAGCGGAAGTCTGCGTCAACATTAGATTAACCTAACGATGAGTTCATTGGTAATATTAACGGCATTAAAATGCGAACTTGGTGAAACATCTGGGTCCCGTCCACCGATTCTTTTCAGCATGGAATTTCCCTATAGATTCTATTGCGTTGTACCCTCTGACCTGAATCAGTTTCATCTATAGCTTCATATTGCATTGCTTTGTTGTCTCAACCAGGCCAAAACGTATTAAATTCAAGATGAAATTGCACTAGAAGCCAGACAAATGTGGGGTCTGTGTCTGCGGTCAAATTCTGCTCCATTTATGGGCTAGAAAAAACGCGTGCGAAACGCGTGGAGAACGGCAAGCTAACGCGCCTTGTGTCCGTCCGGTTTATCAACGCAGCTATAAAAAGTTCTCTCTGTTCCGTTCGAGTAGAATGTGATCTTTGGGCATTAACCTGTCCTCTGTCCGTGCTCCTCTCTGCCCCGCCTCCCCTGATAATTACGTAATTCGTTTCGTATTCTTGCCGAGGTTCTTTCCTCACATCTTTGTGCTGTTTGTTTGGCTATTTCGTATTTATCGTATTTTTTTTTGTTTTCTCTTTCTGCGTGAGGTGTGAACTCAACTCAGCGGAAATGTGCTTTAAATACGAATGGTATCTGTATCCGTATGTCTCTTATGTGTATCTGTAGCTTGAACTTTAGCCGCGGATACGGGTGGGAGTCCGAGTGCGGGCTGACCATTTCCCAGGCAACCAGTTTCGGCTTAAACCATCTCAAAGTGTTTCCATGTAAGACAAGACATTTTGGCGTGTGATTATCTCATCAGAGTTGATGCCTGCCGCGGGCCACATGTACGAGTGCGATGTGGATGCCTCGGCATTCATCCGATAGATACGAGTACAGGCCAGCTGCAGCGGCATTTGCATGTGCCAACATGCGCCACATCAATCCGTAGCTGAAGTTGAAGCCGGGGTCCGGCGCAAGTTAAACGTTTGATTAATTTAATGACAATGCCCGGTGGCTGCATTTGATGAGCCATAACTCATAGATGCAGATACATGCTCCTATCTGGATCGTGTGCTCATGTGGATGATATCAACTTTCGAAAAGCTGCAGCTTGCTGGAATAACTTCCTTGCAGCCGCCACAAAGTTGTTCATTGATTAGTCATTCGAATCGTTGATTTATTTTAAAGCTTTTGTCTAATTATAAATCTTACGTTCTCTCAAGTATTCCACGATCTTTGGCTATTGTTATCTTCTCGTTTCCTTCTATTTTTAAAAACACATTTGTTCTCTAAACATTTGTTGGTTCGTTGAAGCGTCGATTGACGTCACAATTGGCCAAATTATTGGATCTTGTTTTTCGGATTGTTTATCTTTACCTCTTGCAATTGTAAAAGGGGGTCAAGGTGGTGCACAGGAATGCCATAAATATTTGCTGGTTCCTTTACAAAACAATCGTCATACATTAGCCAGAAACTTACTGTTGATAAGATAGAAACAATGGGGGAAAGGTGGATGGGTAATACTTCCACAAATTCCGAGACAACATCATCAGTTATGTGACGAAGCAGTTGAGGGAGCTTTTGAAATGTCTAGACACGAGAAGTCAAGCATTCATGAAAACCGCTTCCTCCCAAATTTCAATATAACATCTTTAATTTCCCTTTTCATTTCTAGTTTATATCATCTGTAACCCACACCTAAATTGCCAAAATGGCAAAACCTCTGTTGAACTCCTGCTGCCTGTGTCAGTCGACGCGGAATGGGTCCATTATATCAGGGATCCTGGCCATTGTCCTATCCATCATCACCATTGTGGTGATCTTCACGACGAGAGTGCATTTCAAGACGATCGTATTCGACTTTATACCCAATGACATTGTCAAGATAATACTGGTGATCAACCTGTGCATGACCATATTGATATCCCTACTGATGATCGCGGGCGTTCTCAAGGTATGATCAATCCTCCCCCGCCTGTGCTCGTTGAATACAGATTGCATCATTAATCTTTGTGTATGTTATAGCGCAATCACTACCTGATGGTGCCCTGGGTGGTGCTGGGCATCATGATTGCCATTGGACTGCTGATCTCAGTCATCTACACCGCCGTCGTCTTCTTCATTGATGGCTATGTACTGACGGGTGTTCTCTGGCTAATCTTTGGCTTAATTTGTTGCGGTAAATATGCAAAGGAGTGGAAGTGGGGTATGGGGCAGATGCATTTTGGGGGGGGCAACTGTAACTTCTCCATGTGCGGTTTTTAGCACCGGATGGCGTTTTATGCGAGCCGTTTTTACTTTATTGACGCATTTATCATGCGTTGATTGCCCCGTGTGCTGAAAGCAAAAAAGGCGGCGGCGCCCCTGCCAGGGGCCTGCACCCAACAAATGAGGCGCGAAGTGGCTGGCAAATGCAATTTGTTTAGTTGCCAAAGTGGCAGGAGATAATAAATGGGCAGATAGGCTGAGATGCAGCTAAAAATGGGCGAGACACGCCTACGAATGGCAATTCTACAAGCATTCTACATAAAACCGATTTTCGTCGACAGGTGCCTCTGTCTTGAAAAGTATCTGCTACATTCTGGTGTAGCAGAGTTCAGTAGAAACAAAGTAAAATACATCCGACAGTGGGCCCGATATGGGGAAAAAGGGACAACAGATAGCTACATTTATTAAAATTGTTTTATTTTCTCTTCCAGCGGTTCTAACATATTGCTGGTGCGTCGTATACAGCGAATACGCTAATCTCTCCGAGGAGAACGAACGTGGCCGATACAACAAGCAGCCCTACCGCCGTTAAGGATCCATAAGCTCCCACCTGAAGGTGATTTGCAGATCCCCTACTCTCATCATCACTTCCATTCTAGCAAGAAATACCCATTCTATCATCCTAGTTTATAATAATTATCCCAACTGCTTATGTTCGTATTTAGTGGATATATCTAACTAATAATTGTAATTTAATTAAGGCGAGCCAGCCTTTCGTTCAGAGATCGAATTTATGTGGCCCGCGGAAGAAAGTGCAATCGAATCGATTTAACATTTAAATAAAACTTTAATCCAGATATTTTGTGAATTTCTGTTGTAATTTGTACGTAATATTGTATGAAAAGAATTGGAAAAATTTAAAAATAATTAACACGTGGAAAACCAAAAATAAATTTGTTTATTTATCAACGGAATGAGAGCACGTTTAGGCGCATTTCACGGTATTACTGTGTGTTTCTTGGTTTCTTTTTTATTTCAAAATATCGTTTCTTTATGTATATATTATATTCAATTCTCTCAAAGTCTATCAAAATTGTAAATTAACTAAAAATACGGATGTGTAGTGGGGGTTTCTTCTATTTGAGTGGGCGTGTTCCATGTAACTACACAAGTAACTCTAGACTTTTGAGCGATTCGATCTACAGTTCGCTGCGCGCATACTTGGGCTTCAGCTCCTCGATGCGTTTGATAAAGTCAGACTTCTCCAGGCAGCCATCGCAGCTCTCATCCCAGTCGTTGAGAATCTTTTTCAGGTCGCGCACTTTTAACTTTTTCAGATCCACACTGTTCAGATCGATTTGCTTCTCTGCAGTTACATTTGTGTATGGGTTAGCTAGTTAATTTCCATACAAGTTTCTGTCTCAGTGGTACATACCATATCGCAGGTCACAGATTTGTGCATCCTTTTTCTTCAGCTTCTCACACACCTTCTCGGCCGGCATAGACCAGCTCAAGGGTTTGCTCATCTCATTCAAGATTCCAGTAGCCGATTCCTCCAGACCACCTAGGTAATAGCACTGCATGGAAAAAGCATACGTGTTAGCATACGTGTTCACTAGGCGGAAGAGAACATTGTTTGCCGGCTACTCACGAATCTGTGCTCCTTGTTCTTTTGTGTCTTGCAGAACTTCTTGAATTCAGTCTCAATTTGCTTGTAGTCGCCCTTAATGGCATCGTCAAGGGATGCAGCAAAGCGCCTAACAGTCTTGATACACACTAAAAGATTTTGGTTGAAAATCTGTTCCAAAGCATTTACCACTTACGTGGCCAACATACCTTCGCAGTCCTCCTCTTTGAGAGCCAGCGTTGTCTGTGCGACGCCGGCCAGGAAACAGAGCACAAGCACCAGATGCGTTGTCTTCATTTTGCTGCTATTCTGATTTAATTTATGTCTTTAAACTACAAATTCTTTTTATATTTATTTTATGTCGTGTTTTTTTAGAATATATGACTTATCGACTTATCGATAAGATATACCGTCTGACCCTCAGAAATATACCGAAACATACCGTCTCATTTCAAAAATGTACCGTAAATATACTTACGAATTCAAGTTATATTTTACATATTCGTCGATTTTTATGTTCCGTGGAATATTACCCTCTCTATAGAACATTTAGCCATGCCCACATAATTTTATACGTTTGTTGAATCAATTTTCTACTTGACTGGTTTGTTTTAAATACTTGCTTTTATTATATCTTGCGTAAAAAAAGGTTTTAGCGAAAATGGTCAAACAAATGTAACGTAATAAAACGTAAGAGAAAAATTATTCCAATTGCTCAATCTCTTTATTCCGTTGAATAATGATGCCTAACTAAACCATTGGCTCTACCCACATAATTTTAGGCCATTAATGAATACATTTTCTACAAGATTAGCTACTTTTAAGTACTACCATTTGTATTTTGACTACAGAAAGGTTTAAACAAAAAAGGTCAACAAAAAAACAGTGGCAACGTAAGTGAGTATCGAATGCGCTGTAAGTTAGTATGAAATGTCATGTCAACCTGAGTTTGGGCAAAGGTATACCCTTTTTCGTTAATATATATGAAGAAAATCTTTTTCCAAGCTGCATTCAAACGTAATCAATAAAGACCTTGTCTTAGATTGCATTTTTTTTTACCTATTCATTCATTTGATTAGGGTCTTGTAAATATATCTCGATCCCGATATCCATTCTTGGTTTCTGTAAGAAGACCAAAACCTTCAAAATATCAAAAACCTATCAAATACCGGTGGCCTCACCGTTGTTGAAATATGCAGGTTCGAAATGAACTTTTATCCCAGCTGCAAAATGAGATGATTCCAGATCGTAGCGCAGGGGGCCAGCCCAACCCAGTCCGATGGAGTGCTGGTTCCCAATTGTACCATCTGTTTCGAGAGCTGGGACTCGTCTTGGCCCCATCTGCATTAGAGAGTATCTTCGGAGTGGAGGGTACCATTGTCCCGTACGCCGCCAGAGTGCTATCGTCTATGTGACACAGCATATATCATGCCAGCGCAACTCTTAACGACCGCCAAAATAAATAGTAAATTAAAGCTAAATATATTTGTAAATAGTCAGATTCATATTTCTTAGAAGTCGAACCATAAAGTAAAACGGCCGAACTGACAACACTGTATGAGTCACAATGGTCGATACATATCGGATAATACTAATCGAAACGAGTAGCGCCAGAAGTTTAAATTTGAATCAAATTGGATTGTCCTCATAGCAACACTGTTGAGAGTCAAAGTAAACAAGTGCTTGCGTTTCTCAGCGGAATGCCGAGAGAAATAAATTTGCCTAACAGGTGTGAGGAATCACTCAGCTGCTGTTTGCCGCTCACCGCCTGCAGCGGCTGCTCCCCAAAATATTATTCGCCCCAGCACAGTATTGACTCAGCGAGCGCGATAGCAGGCCAGACGGAACAGCACCGCACCGCCTCACGGTTTTAAGAAATCTCGTAACGTAACCGGACAAACAAATATGTACTTTGCTTGCGTTCCCAGCCTAAAGTACTTTACCCGTGACGTCGGTGTGCGATCTTTTACTTGATATCGTTTTTCCCTTAAAATAGCAGCATTTTTGTTAACAACCAAACAGTATTGCCCGAGCCCGCCGAGTGCTAAGTACTCTGTCAACCAGTACTGGAGTTATAATCCAATTGTTACCGTTAGCAACTGCATTTACGAGGAGCCCAAAGCAAACCACTTGTCAACAATTCGCCGAATATAATTTACAATTACACACACCCGCTAAAAATAAACCCTGCAAGGCGTGTCAGAGGCAGAGATTCCGAACACAGAACACAGAACACATAAAATGCCTGATGTAAAGTTTTTAGCGGTACTGCCCGACAATTCCAATGCTTCGGTAACAAAGCTAACCATCAAAGGCACCCTGCTCCAGCAACCTCAGCAGTAAGTCCAACCTTAGTCCAAGTCCTTAGGTGCTTAAGAAAATCGATTAGCAATTTCCTGCCCCAAGGTACGGAAACTTGCTCTTTGCGTGCAGAATTTTAATATTCTCGGGAATGTGGTACATAACATATTTGACCCGATTAGAGTGAAAATTCTAACGAACTCGCGGACGATTTATGGCGCACACATGAAACAAACAAATGGGGTACAAAATTTAGAGATTCTTATAATTACCAAATACCAAAGGTAAATTATGAGTTTATGATCTAATGAGGCGATAAGCAGATGGTAGAAAATCAGTTCAACACGTACGTATGCAGTTATACAGTTCAACTTACGAGTAAACTGGACTCGGCTGGATATTGCTGTATCAATTCCACAATCAATGACATCATCAACACAAAATTAAAGCAGACACGCGCAACAGAATGGCTGAAGATGCCGGCCCGGCAAAGAAGACAACAGCAAAGAACAATCTGAAAATGAAAACAGAGCCAACAAAAAGAAACGAGCAAATCATTGAAACAATCATCGGTGTGGGCTAAGCAAATGATGTCAATAAATCAGAATACCATTTGATCTGTTACAACACAATGGATTCCGGGTTCTTGATTGGCCCAACTACAAGATAATGGGAAAACCAAGAGACCTTGAGTTCCTTATCTCTTGCCTCCCCATCGATAACATGCCGCTGATAGCCCCCAGAAATGTGTCATACAAATTATATATTGTACTATTTGCTTGTAAGGTGTGTTTACTTAGATAAGAATTCTGGCATACCAGGAACTTCGAACACAAAGTGACTAAGAAAGATTTCCAAATGACAATCCGTCAAACATCCCAATTCCGTTCCTTGAATGCTTGGCACGTTTTTCGCACCCACTCAGCCATGACGACGGGTCTGTGGCGGTCCGGTCCCCAAAAACTTGCCAAACCGCCATGTGCCATAGGAACATACATAGGTATTTAGTGACTAAGTAAGCAGCTTGGAGACGGGGTCAAATGTACAGATGGCGACGTCATTATCATACATGTGAGAGATATAAACAAATGATTTGTTAAATCAATTTTTCGCTTTGTCTCTTCCCTCCTCTCCATCTCTCTCTACAGATTCTCGGTGAACTTTGTGAACAGTCCAGTCTGTACAGACAACATCACATATCACTTCAAAGTGGTGATCCCCACACAGACGATCATCGAGAACTACAAGCGGAACGGGGAGTGGAGCAGCCTGCAGCAGGAGCACTACCTGAACATATTCGATGGTACAGGCGGGAGTGATAAGACTCTGACCCAAAGCTTTGCCAGTATTATGAACGAGATTGATGAGGCGTTCCAACTTTCATCCACAGAATCAACCTTTCGCCTAGAGTTTACATTCGATTATGATAATTCCACAATGATCGTCTACCAGGTCAGGGAAACGGGTCACAATTTCATAAGCAAATACGAGACGCTCTTCTCGCTCTCCGAAATCCAGGCGATTCAGGTGTGGGGAGATGTGCAAAAGGTCAATCAGTTTGCCCTCAGCTATGATTGATACAGGGACAGATCAGACCCCCAAGGTAGCCATCTATTTTTGGTGCACTTGCACCCTATTTAAATGCATTTGATCGCTTCGGCTTGGATTCGGTTTCGGGCACCCTTTAGTCCTAACATTGCACTGCACGACCTAATTATTTACAATTACCAGTAGTTCTAGTTCTAGTATTATTTTGTTGGCGCTTCCATCAACATTTGGTTTGCAGTAGAGGTGGACATTTTTCATGCGACTCACGATCTTTGCTGCTTTCACGCACCTACCACACAATCTTCCCTTCTCTCTGATTTCTAAGCCTACCAATTATGATCTTTTCATTAAATTATTTTACACTTGTTACGGATTATTTGTGACCTGTTCACGAGCGTTGCAGGTCACATTCAGGTCATTCACGCTCACGTCATCTCGTGCGTGTCAACATTGATTGTCTGGCGCCTGAAAGTATGTTATGTTCTCCCCCCTTGTGATGTCATTGCAACCGATATCTCAGTAGCTGCTCTGTTCTGTTCAGTTATGCTCGTTCTTCCCCAGTATTTAGTAGCCCTATTTTTGATAAATGTTAAGACCAAAGATTTGTATGTTCAAATATATTTATGCTTGCTGTAGTCTTCCATCTAGTTATTAGCATTTATTTGTAAGCTTTTTCCATGTAATTCCTCACACAAGCACATACCATACCATACCATACCATGCCAGACCATACCAAGTATTAAACATCACCATGACAAATGCATCTTCTTTGATTCAATTAAATGCGTAAACACACAACAGATTCATGGGAAATGGTTTTCTTTATTCTTAATGATTCGGATGTGGATATATTGGCTTGCTTTTGTTATTCGTTTCGTTTGCTGTTCGTTCGCATGTTAGAATTAAAATTACGAGCTCTTGCGAAATAGTTTCCATCCATGCAGCAGATCTCTGGCCTGGCCAATGGAACTAACATTATAAAATTCGTATTTTCAGTCGAACGAATCTTACCAAAAATATTCACGTAAACATTGGGGCCTGCCTCAGCCCCAGCCCAGGCCCGCCTGCCATCATCTGCTTTATAGCGCACCTGCACAAACTGAAGGCTCCAGTGTGCAATACCAAATGAAATATACATAACAGTTTTTATCCATAAATTATATATTTTATGTATTTATTTTCTCACACATCTTCCTTTCACCCAAAAAAGGTATTTTTACATTCATTTGTTTACAGCTTTTACGAGTACATAGATCGATAAATATTTACAAAGCCTTACAATACTATATATCGTAAGATCGGGGAGTTACATACAGTCGAGGGGGTGTTTATGATATAGGGGGTTCATTAGAATAAATTTGGTGGAATATCGAGAGCACAGTTCACTGGAAAGTAAAGTAATCATAATAAAAGCAATACGTTAAAAGGAAATTAAAAAAAAGAAATATTGCACCAAAAGGAAGGGGCAGAGTTTGCCCAAGTCTTATGAAATACAATTACAAATAATATGGTAAGGAACTGATGACCAGCAGTCAGATTAAACCAAACTGACTGAACCAAAGGACTAGTACGATCTAAGTTTCGTTTTGTTGACAGTCTACTTTTTACAAACTAAATGGTTAGCGGTCGAGCTGGGAAAGTTGGGGAAGCCCAGCTGAACATAGTTCAGAGATGAGGGCATATTTGAGTCGGGGGCCTGGGTAATAGTTATGGTATTCCCAGCGTGATCCTGGGTGGTGACCACATGCATTATTTGAGTCTGATGCGGTTGAGCCGGAGTTTGCTTTTGCTGCTGCGAAGTTTGCTGTTTGATTTCAAATGTAAGATCCTGCGAAAGATAGGTTACTCGTGAGAGATTGGAGTTTTTTAAACTGTCGGAAGAACCAACCTTTGACGAAGCTTGGCCATTGCTTCGCACTGTCGTGGAGGAAGTAACAGTAGAAACAGGAGCTGTCCGTGGCTTCTTGTGCATTTCCCGATGCTTCTCGTAGTGCAGCTTGGTGGCAAAGTTCTTATTGCAAACATCGCAGCAGTACAGGGTCTCGTTCGTAGGATGTGTGTGGATCCTGTTAAAAAAGGCCATTAAAATTTAAGCTCAAACTATACAATTTGTGGACCCACCTCATATGCTTGCTCAAATTGTCCTTTCGGGAGAAGGGCTTTTTACAAGCCTCGCATGTAAAGAGCTTCTTGCCCGAATGGGAGATCAGATGCCGCGACAAGTGCTCCTTGCGACTGAAGGCTTTGTCGCACTGCTCTTCGGTGCATTTGTAGGGACGCAGGCCTGCGTGCAGCTTTATATGCTGGACGAGATGCTCCCTCTTCTTGAACTCGCGATTGCACTTGGGGCAGGTCAGACCGGGAGGAGGCGCATCCGGAGACTTACCAGGCGCTGGGCAGATGGGCAGCGGCGGGCGTTGAATTTTTGATATCGGCGCTTGCTTCTCTTGTCTCTCCATCATTATTTTCTTGTGTTGCACTGCTATCGAAGGAGGGTGCGTTGGAGAAGGTTCAAGAGTCGGTTTATGAATTGCAGTGGCCGGAGATGGAGCTGGAGCAGGAGCTGGAATAGATGGTTTGGGGAGGTTCGTTTGGTTTACAGTTTGCGCGGGGATTCGACTGATTGTTATGTTCTGTTTGTTAAGAAGCGGCATATTCGAGGGAGCCTGCACTGGCTGCGGCTTGGCCACCTTGGTGATGGTTGTATTCGAGGAAAGTCGCTGCAAGGCAGCCGGATTGGACGCTGTGGTTGTTGGCGAGGGATCCACAGGCGGCAGTTGTTTCACCTGGGCCATCACGCGCTTAAGCTCTGCAGTGCGAACAGGCGATTGTTGCTGGGATACAGATGATGACGTTGGCGAAGTATTCTTTTTGGGGTTTACTGCTTGTTGCTGTAGATGCTGCTGCTGCGGGTGCATTTGCCTTTGTCTGGGCGATGGAATCGTAAAGGTCGGCTCATCTTTGATGTTCTTGGCCATGGTCGATACGGCGGGGACATTTCTTATCAGCAACTGCGGAGTTGTAGCATTCGACGGAGGCGATCTGATGATCTGCTGAGATGTCACTGTCGCTGTGTGTGATGAAAGTTGCGGATGTTTCGGCTGCTGAAACGTCTGCTGCGATTGTTGTTGTGGAGGCTGGGGCGAAATGAAAATGTTCTGAAATTGTCCGGTAGACGAGACTGCTGGGGTGGCGCCCTGGTAATTGTTTGCATTGCCCAAGGTCTGCGGCGTCAGCTGTAGTGTGGCTGGAATGGACGTGGGCGTCAACTCCATGATTGGCTGACCATCGGCGGTGGCCAGCTGTGGCTGCAGTTTCATCTGTACCTGGTAAGTGGTGGGCAGCACCAGATTTTTGGTATCAATGTGCGCCACTATCTGTTGATCGGAGTTCTCGTCGCGAATAGTTATGGGCAGGAAACATTTGTTGGGCGACAGAATATTTCCTGCCCCTGCATTCGTGCCCGTCTGCGGGCTAGACAGGCTGGAGAGCAAAGCTGTGGCATTCAACTGCGTTTGCCCCGCAGCTGCTGTACCTGCTCCCCCAACGGGCATTAACTGCAGCTGCAACTGGGGTTGGGCTCCAGCAAACTGAGGGAGCGATGTGGTAAATTGGGGTCCAGCTGGCGCGGATTGCACAAAATTGAGCTTTGGTGACTTGTTTTCGCTCGGACTTGAGCCGTCCTCTGATGCCGAGAACTGAGTGTTGGCCGCCAATAGACTGGTAAGCTGTTGGATCTGTTGCTGCAGCTGGAGTTGTTGTATCTGCTGCCAGATGGACTGCTCGCTTAGCATTGGCTGTAATTGCATCTGTGGAGTGGTGGCTGTATTTCTCATAGTTTGTGGCTGCAGAGGCGGCGGCTGTGAAGTCGGTGTCACCGACTGCTGTTGTGGCTTACTAGGGACTGCGGCAACGGGAACACTACTGGGGTCCTTCTTGCCCAAGGGAGTTATTTTGATCTCTGGCTTTAGACGTATAAACTCCTCCAAGACACTGTTTTCGGGATGGACATGGAACCTTTGTTATTTCAATTGGTGGCAAATGATTCCATTACTCACGATTGCTTGTCCGACTTGGGCTGGACCGGAGGCGGGGGCGCCTGTTGCAGAGTGTTGTCCACCGTGATGGTAAATTGCTGCTGGGGTTGCATGCCCACCGCCTGGATAATACTGCTGAGCAGATTATTGGATTGACTGCTGCTGCTACTGGCTGGAGTGGACTGTACTGAGCTGCTGCCCACCACGCTGAGACTCTTGCCTGTGTCGTCGATGGCATCTTTGATGTAGAGCTTGTCGTTGTGGCTCTGGATCGGGGGAATGTTCAGGCAGTCGTTGAGCATCGTCTGGGTCTTCTTGCAAGTGTGGCGCAGGGCATGAATCTGCTCCACTTGCTGCACGCACTGGCCGCAAACCACCTTGGGCAGCCGATCCTTTTCGTCAATCTGAAAACTCCAAAGTGAATACCTGCTGCGCAAAGACCAAGGCAACCACCCACTCACCTGCAAGGACAGGCATTCGTATATCTTTGAGCTCAGATTCTTGGCGCGTCCCTCGGCCGAGAATACGTTGGTGTTCTGGTCACTGCTGTCTGTACAGATGCGACACAGGTCGTAGTAGTTGATACACCGCACATTGCTATTCGAGTTGGCCATCTTTCCCGCCGACTGACAAGACTGCGCTTGCTTTAAGGTAGGTAAAGAATGTTTATTTTATTGCACATGCAAATATTTGTTGTTTTTTTTTCTGTCTGCTGCGACGCTCTATTGTTAGTGATGGTACTATCGATACCACTATTTATCAATGTCGTATATATATATACGTTACCGCCAAATTTGTCCCGCTTATCGTTTGTCATCTCAGGCTGCAATGAATGCAGAATATGTTTTAAAGCTATTCTGAAGAAACTCTTCAGTTTCTTGGAGAACAGAACCCATACAAATGTTTTGTTGCCGATGTCATAGCTGAATACACACCTACGTTTTTACAAAATCATGTAGTAAAATATGTAGTTAGCGCAAAGTTACGATGTAAAAAAAGGACATTTTTGTTGACCAAATATGTTTAAAGCTTATTTTACAAGAAAACTAGTAAAAGGTGGTCCCTAAAGCTAGCCAGTCTTGTAGGGAAATCGATTCATCAATCGGATAAAAATATTTTTTAAGGGCTGAGAGTCCTAGCTAGATAGTACTTTTTAGCCGAATATCAAAATGGAGGAATATGATTTCCGATCATAGACAGAAAACAATTAACCCATTGTCTACCAGTGAGTATTTCAATACACTCTACGAAAACTATGAATCTTGTGAGATATCGTAGTCATTTTTTTAAAGTAAAGATGAAAGTGGAATTATTGTCATTATTTTCTGCTGCTTAACTCAAGTTGTTCACCGGTTTATATAGAGGGGGCTTAAATGGGCTAGGTTGGATTTTTCCATCGTGTCGGTCACACTAATCTCGACGTCGGCCATCTTAAAAGTGAAAAAAATTTATTCTGAAAAAATCAGTAAAATTGTAATTATTTCTAAGTTCTGCACGTAAATAAATAACAAAAGTATGGGTTCCCGCAACGAGTGCCGAATATACGTTGGAAATCTGCCACCAGATATCCGCACCAAGGACATCCAGGATCTTTTTCACAAATTCGGCAAAGTTACATTTGTGGACTTGAAAAATCGGCGTGGTCCGCCATTTGCTTTTGTCGAATTCGAAGATGCGCGGTGAGTAATGAGAACTGGTTATATCTAAATACACACAAAGCCAGAAGCAAGCCCCCAAATAAAGCAAATCCCTATTTGGCGCCAAAAAAACAGCGATGCTGACGACGCGGTAAAGGCCCGCGACGGCTATGACTACGATGGCTATCGCCTGCGCGTCGAGTTCCCGAGGGGCGGCGGTCCCGGCAGCTACCGTGGAAATCGCAACGACCGCAACAATGGGCGTGATGGTGGTCGCATGGGCGGACGTGGTCCTCCGGCCAAACGGTCTCAATACCGTGTTATGGTAACCGGGCTGCCGCCCTCTGGCTCCTGGCAGGATCTCAAGGATCACATGCGCGAGGCTGGCGACGTCTGCTTTGCCGACACCTACAAAGACGGCTCTGGCGTGGTTGAATTCCTGCGTCACGAGGACATGAAGTACGCCATAAAGAAATTGGACGACTCGCGTTTCCGTTCGCATGAGGTAGGTGGAATTGAGAAATGCGTGAAAGCAAAAGGAGTTGAACAATCAATTGTTTCCACAGGGTGAGGTTGCCTACATTCGGGTGCGCGAGGATAGCGGCGAAAACGACCGCAGTGGCGGGAGTGGAGGAGGAGGAGGCGGTGCTGGTGGTGGCGGCGGTGGAGGAGGTGGTGGCAGCAGCGGAGGCGGTGGCCGTGACTACCGTGACAGGTAATTGTGTGCAGAAGTGTGCGCTCTGGATGTTCCCTCGATCTAATCGCTATTATCTTTTCTCTCTTGACAGGTCTCGTTCGCGCTCATTCTCATCGAGACCGCGTCGCCGCGGCACTCCGACATACTCTCCGGTGCGACGTCAATCCTATTCCAGGTCTCGCTCACGCTCTAACTATTAAACACTACCAATCATCATCCATTAATATATATTAATTCGTACGAGCCGAAAAAGCAAGATAAACACCTCCTTTCAATTTTAACCAAGCAATCAATTCACCTTGTAAATTGACTATCAAGCCACCGTGTTCCATCATTTAATCAAAGCACACATCAGTCAAACCAAATTCGGAACAGAGCATCAGAAACCAACACCACAGAAACTTGCTTTTCCAACAGAACAGTGCCACACGATTTGAGGCAGAGAAACTCTTTTTAAACTACATTTAACGCCGAACCCAATGATTTGATTTGACTAAAACTTTTCGCAAAACTAAAATTGTAACTCAAGGAACTATTTTTGGCGAGCCTCACTTGTTAAGTATTCCTTGTTTTATCGATTTTAATTGTCTGCAACTGGCTTCTATTCGCCAATATTTTATTACTTGGCTGCAAATACCAAGCATTTTTTTAGAATTTACCCTAAAAAAGCAAAAGCAACAAAAACAAAACAAGAAAAAAGAACATCGATTCCGAATAAATATGCCTGTAATGATAACGAAAATGAAACCAAAAACAAAAAAACCAGAACACAAAACGCAATGCCGCGAACATTTTATCAACAAATTATTAATATTTAATTTTTATTTTCTTCTCTTCCCCATTTTGCGCGTTTATGTTTGGAGTATAATGAGGAGGAGGATGAAGATTAATGGAGGATGAAGAAGGAAGGATATTTTGATGTTAATTTTGGATTTTGGAGTGGATTGTGGATAAATTTGGATTGAAATTAGTGGAGGCAGGACAATAGGACATAGATCTATCTCTCTCTCTCTAAATGAGTGTATCTTTGAGATGGTATCAGGATTCGATTTGGATTATCAGGATTTGGATATTAGGATTGTTCTATGACCTTCGCTAGGACAACGTGGGATACAGTTCCCCACGGCTAACTCGCTCCGTAACCTGATTAATGAACTCTGAACCCATGGAGGAGACGAACAGACACATTCCAATTGTTTCACCTATTGCTATGGCAATTCGGGACGCGGATGCGGGATGCGGATGCCCCCACATTGTGTCTGTGTCTTTTCGGTAATTGGATAATTAATGGTCTTGTGTTGAGGGCAATGGATGTGTGGAGTGGAGGTGGAGGATGATGCACTTGGACAGGACTCATGTCAAGGAATTCGGCTTCGGATTCGGCTGCTTCAGCACTCGTCTCACAATTGGGAATAGGATTTGGTTCGAGTTTCGCCTGGAACTGGACAGGTCTCAGCCCCCCCGAGTTGTTGTCGCCCTTTGTCGGATTGGGATTACTCACAGAGACACATTCAAACTCAAACACACGCACAGACACTCATTTCGTGGCCTTTGCGCCCTGTGCCCTCCATGTCGATATCGCTATCCATGTCAATCAGGAGTTGCTGTGCCACATTTGAACGTTGCTGGATAGTGGCTGGCCGTGTGGTCCTTGGTCTGGTTTGATCTCAGCCCTCTGGTCTCCCTCTCGTCTTTCAGTGGTATGTTCGATTGCAAGATCTATTTTTTACATTTTTATTTTGAGTTTATATATTTTTAATTGTACATCAAATACAATATCCTCCGTGTTCATTGGTGCTGTTGCCTCCCACACCACACACATGGCTGATAACTTTGGCCGCACGCCAAAGAGTTTTAGTTCTCCATGTTTTGACTAGAAAAGCGAAAACCAAACCCGAAATACCCCAAAATATTGCCTATAACCGTAAATCATTTGCATGAACCTTCTTTTTAGCCAACACACAATGTATTATTCACAAAAAGACCGAGAATACCCTCATTCCGAGTTCTCTGCGCTTAACGAATCACCCACAAGCCCATAGTCTTAAAATATTTTTGAAATCTAATCAAATTTTCCAATAAACATACAGAAACTGAAAGTGCAGGTATTTTTTGTTTTTTAATTTGCAGGGGGCGGGTCCTATGGGAATGATTACCTTATCAGAATTATACATATTAGCATATTTGTAACGGAATTTCAAACTCTAACCATGGTGGAACCAGTATATAGATGCGCCAGTTTATTCAGCGGAAACGTCCAAACAGAAATTGCTACGCGATCCTCCAGAGGTCTTTGGGTCTGGGATCCCTCAGCTTCGGCGAAGATTAAATTTTACTTTCTATTCCCCTAATTTACCACAACTTGATCAAGTATTTGTCATCTCATTTGTCTCTCTACAATAAATAAAGACGACAAGTCAGTCTGCTATCTGAACGAAATTTTGCAGTGCATGGTAGTTATCGGGATCGAGATATATACAGGAATGTAATTAAATGTCATTAAACATGTCAATACGAGAAAAAGTCATTATTAGGGTCATTATTATTATTATTAAAAGCAGCTTGGAAAACAGAATTTTAACATTAATTCAAGAAATTAGGGTATACCAAACTGTATGATACATAAGTGTTGGGTAAACATTGCTCATATTGGGCAAAATGTTCACTTGTTCTTTTTTAGTAAGTGAGTCAACTCACTCATATTGCTCACTTGTTCATCTAGATTGCTCAGTTGCTCACTTAGATAGCTCAGTTGCTCACTGTTCACGCACAGATCACTAAGCACCACAGGTTTTGACACAAATAAAATACGTTACATTTCAATTTTAATCAAATATTTAAAGCTAAAAAAAAAATTGCAATGATTCCAAATTTCACTGCACTTTCGAAGTATCGAATATACTTCGAATTAGCGACATACTAAATTTTCAAAAAAAAATAATAAACAGTTTTGCCGGTAATACAAAAAGTGTAAAGTAAAAGCAAATATGAGCAACAACTTCCAGAACGCAAAATGCCCTTTGAGGAGCAAAATTGCGCAAAAAGTGAGTAGAGAACAAGTGAGCAAAAATGAACAACAAAGAACAAGTGAGCAAAAAAGAACAAGTGAACAAAAAAGAACAGCTTGGAAGGAACCTGTTCAGTTCTTTTTTGTTCACTCACTAATGAGCATCACAACACTATATTACATATACATAGTATGGGTTGTTTATATGTACCAAATGTGTACTTATCGCGCAGTTACCATGTAAAAAAAGGACATTTTTGCTGACCTTTTTTGTTCAAGCCTTACTTCAAACACAATCCAATGAAAGGAAGTCCTAAAAGTTGGCCAGTCTTGTAGAAAATTGATTAGATTATGGGCTTAATTAATATGGACAGTGATGAGGGTCTTAGCCAGATAATAATATTAAACATAATATCAAAATGGGAGGAATGATAGGAATATGATGGAATTTAAAGAATTCGTCGGTATATTTACGGTATATCTTTGAGGTCAGACGGTCACACTGCTGCATCATCGAACATCGAACCTGAAGCTCAAACATGCAACGCAAAAATAGGTCGGAGAGCGTAATTTGGTTTTATCGAACCGCTGGCTAAGGAAAGGTAAGGACAATAGTCGAAAAAGCCAAGGGAAATCGCAAGGATCGTATTAACCTCACCTAGTCGTGTTTTGACGAACAATGTACCTTGAAAACAAAATTTGGATTGTCCCAATGGTATATTAGGAAAAGGGTGGATTTTACCTTGCATGCGCTGCATTTTCTGGTCCGTGTTGCCTGTTGTCCATACCCTCTTTTTCCTCATCAATTTCAAAAATACCAACGGTCGTGGCTGCTCGCGCTATAAAAACAATTTAAAGAACGGCGCGACCGGTTGCGGTTGTCAAGGAAATTAGGAAAATAAGTTCCAAAGTTGATAGTTTGTTTCCGTATTTGAATGAAACGGCTCCGAAAATTCCGTGGATAAATATCCACATGGATCAAAAATATATGAATTAAAAAGTAAATAAATATTTATATTCGATCAAATAATAAACGGTGCGGTTTACACGCACAAAAATTGATAACGATAATTTCGAATTTTGCACCCCAACGCGGCGGCTGCCGAGCCCCAAAGTGCGCCAAAAACAAAACAATATTGAATTTCAAAGCGGTGGCCGTTTAACAAACAAATTGTGATTCCGTGAGTGCGCGGCCCACGTTGAGCGGCATCCATAAATAAATATGTATACTCGTACCACCGAAAAGTGCATTGACAGCTGCTGCCGCGAGTATTGACCAATTCTCTGAGAGCGCGGAGGAAGCATTTCCGTGGGCCTCGAAATTGTGGGACCGCTTTGGTCGTCTGTCTCTTGTTGTGCCCTTGCGTTGGTGTTCCCTTTGGAGGCGGCGGCCCCCCTTGCCTTATCAGCGGCTCTTTCCCATTCTCATTTTTATTGAATCTCCCGTTTGATTGGGCGATTTATCACATTTCGGTGTTCGGTTTTCTGTTTTCTGTTTGCATTAGTCACACGCGCCAGCAGCAGCAGCAGCTGTTAATCGATCGCGTTTTTATTGTCAATTACCAAGTTTATCATTTAATTTGTAAAGTTTCAGCAACGCAACTATAAATAGAAGTGAAGTGTTGAAAAGGCGTAGACAGCTTTACAGTTTAAACTGATTCGTGATCAATGTTTTTAAGTGTCACAAACGTGTGTGTTTTATGTGTAAAATCACTTGAACAGCAAAAGGTAAGACAAGCTTTATATTACAGATATTATATGTACATATATGTGTAGAATTGCTTGGATCGTTAAATTTGTCGATGGCCTCAGCAGTTCTCCACTTTCTGAACTCCACCAGTCACCTCAACAGCAAATCAACCATCACCAAGTCGTCATTGTTTAAAAGGTTTTTTTATTGATCGTAACTTGAAATCAGCTTTTACGAGCTGTTCTAAACGATCCCCCATAGGCATTAACTATTTATATACATATGTGTTACAATGTACACATTGCTGAATCTTTGTTCTAAAGATTTGTTTGTTTTTCCACTCCAATTTTGAAAGTGAAAGTGCGTGCTTCGCAGGGTGTTCTGTGCACAGTGGTGGTAATGTGACCCACTTAGGGTCAACATTTTTAGCCCGACACTTGGCTGCTTCCTAGGGTGCCTTCGGCAATGTAATTCGATATGTCAACCTAAACCCAGAAGGTGTTGCTTCCTTGCGGCAAATACTACCTAAGTACACGGTCTACCTGGCGGCCTGCCCTTCCATTCAAGGTCTCTCCCTCTCTCTCGCTCTGTC